TTTGGTTATTAATCATGGTGAATAACAATAAAAGCTAATTTTTTATAACTTATTCTAGTTCCTCGCAGCTAAGAACACTACTGAAACTAGTAGTTGTAAGTAGGACCTGAAAAAAAAAATTCAGGCCCGTACGCTTAGCTGCGAGGATCTTCTAATTTCATCTTTCCACCGCAGTGCAAATATGTGAATTTTCATATATCTAAATCTTCATTCACTCGGATGTTTATTTGTACCCAATTCATTGACCAGCTCCCAGTTGGCTTGTTAGCTCAATTGGTAGAGCGCTGCACCGGTATCGCAGAGGTCATGGGTTCAAATCCCGTACGGGCCTGAATTTTTTTTTTCAGGTCCTACTTACAACTACTAGTTTCAGTAGTGTTCTTAGCTGCGAGGATCTTCTAATTTCATCTTTCCACCGCAGTGCAAATATGTGAATTTTCATATATCTAAATCTTCATTCACTCGGATGTTTATTTGTACCCAATTCATTGACCAGCTCCCAGTTGGCTTGTTAGCTCAATTGGTAGAGCGCTGCACCGGTATCGCAGAGGTCATGGGTTCAAATCCCGTACGGGCCTGAATTTTTTTTTTCAGGTCCTACTTACAACTACTAGTTTCAGTAGTGTTCTTAGCTGCGAGGATCTTCTAATTTCATCTTTCCACCGCAGTGCAAATATGTGAATTTTCATATATCTAAATCTTCATTCACTCGGATGTTTATTTGTACCCAATTCATTGACCAGCTCCCAGTTGGCTTGTTAGCTCAATTGGTAGAGCGCTGCACCGGTATCGCAGAGGTCATGGGTTCAAATCCCGTACGGGCCTGAATTTTTTTTCAGGTCCTACTTACAACTACTAGTTTCAGTAGTGTTCTTAGCTGCGAGGATCTTCTAATTTCATCTTTCCACCGCAGTGCAAATATGTGAATTTTCATATATCTAAATCTTCATTCACTCGGATGTTTATTTGTACCCAATTCATTGACCAGCTCCCAGTTGGCTTGTTAGCTCAATTGGTAGAGCGCTGCACCGGTATCGCAGAGGTCATGGGTTCAAATCCCATACGGGCCTGAATTTTTTTTCAGGTCCTACTTACAACTACTAGTTTCAGTAGTGTTCTTAGCTGCGAGGATCTTCTAATTTCATCTTTCCACCGCAGTGCAAATATGTGAATTTTCATATATCTAAATCTTTATTCTAGTTCTCTCGTCACCATATTCCCACCAATAGCGTAGCTCCATTTTCTACATGTAAACCCACACACAAACCACAGTTCCTCCAGCCGCTCTGACGAAGGGCTAACGCTCGAAACGTCAACCTTTTAACTCTTTACGGTGGCCAATTTACGTTTTCAACTCGGTTGATAACACTAAATTACACTGTTATACTCTCCCGCCGACGCAGCACCACAGTTTTTTTAGAAACTTACCTCCTGTAAGGCATATATACTTCATCCTTTCTTTATTTAGTATTTGCATGTCCTGTCAACTAAATATAAACAGAATTTAACTCTCTATATATTGCTCAATACTTTCATTTTGAATTAATTAAACTCTGTTTAATGTTTCGTATCATGGTAAATTGGACAAAAATATACTGTCATAGAATTTTGAATGACACACATGTTTATTGTAATAGTAAAAAAAAAATGCTTATCACAGTGCAAACCAGCTGTAAATGTAGCATCATGTAAAACCTTCACAACTGAGACCTCAGGACTTCTTTGGCCAGCCTTCTCGACTATATCGATCCCTGTTGATTGCTTTGTTAAGTTAGTGTTACAGTATAAGTGATAGAGAAAGAAGATTTAGTATGTCGCAAGATCGATAAATATGAAACGATTACCTCCATGTTTCCATTAGAAGTGTCTTCTTGGAGTACCCGAGACGTGGGTATAATGGATCTGTTGAGTGGTTTATTTGCGGTAAAGCAGATAGTGAAGCTGCGGCCCGAGAAGGGCTTTGGGTGGCAACATACCTCATTTCTCGTTTTGCTTAGGAAACCCTTCTCTTCGCGATTTCCCTACGTGTTTAGGCTTCTCGATTTATTCTTTGATACTGAATACTATGCTATTCTGATGTTAAACTCTTTTACATTAGTACACTTCCGTACGCTCACACGACCTTTACAATTCCTTCTTTTCTGCTTTTCACTTAAAACAAATTAATATAATGATTTATCTCCGATCATACGTCTTTGACAACGACGACAGCAATGCATCGTTCCATGACGAACAGCTTCCCGCCATTGCAGCACGCAACGGCTTTGGTTGGATGTTTTCTCGCACATCGACAGGCAGTACTCAAGTGAAAACTTTCACGCAAAAAAAACCACAAAAACAAAACAAACAACAGCAACAACAGTAAAAACAATTCAAAATTATCGTTGTTAGTGCTTTTCTCACAGCCCGATCGATCCCTTCCGTAAATCACACCTCCTGTGTGGAGTCTATTTTTTTCTTATCAACCAATCAAAAAAATTGCATTAATCGATTCTCCCAGAGGTCATTATATGGCGACCATACTGCTGACAAGGAGCCAAAATGACCCTGGGCTCGAGATTGGATTACTAGCAACTCATTCATTCGTTCCCAGGAGGCGTAGCGCTTCTCCTTCTACGAATCTTGTATTTACACCTGGTGAATGACTCGAAAAAAGTTCGCGTACAAGAAGTCTCTTTCTCTTTACAATGCTTTTGCATGTCAGGTGTCGATTGCCTGGTAAATGACTCGCGCTTCTGAATTTAAAATTTTTCACATAGCCACCGGCTGTGAGCGTAACCGACTGCTGCCATTTGTGTAGATTCTTAAGCAAGACTGCTGATTCGATTCTTTCTGAATCTCGTCAGTTGCCTCCAAAGAACAATTTACTGATTTAGTGCCGTAGGAATGACAGAAGTCGCTCAGGCCTGTTAACACTTTTTAACGTTCGAAGGAACGGCTGCAGACAATGAATTCCCATTACATTCACGTACATCGAAGGTATTCTTGCAGCCACCAAATAGGTTCACTAAACCGCGACAGGATGCAAATGACTTAATTCATATTTTACGCCCATGATGCAACGCTATCAGACTGTACACATCGCCTGCGACAAAAGGGAGGATCACAAGCGCTCTCAGACCCCCTCCCCCTAAACTAGCTGAGTTCCAGCTAATATGCGAGGGGTTAGAGTGACAGAAATAGCAGACAATAGTCATGTTTATAAAACCCCATCAAATATCTGACGTCACATGCTCTCAAACCTCTAGGGTAGATTCTCTGATCTGCAGAAGTGTCGGGTGAACTTCATTTCGGCCATACGAATTAACCATGGGTGAGAAGGCGATCATTGCTGAATCAGTTCCAGGGATTTTTGTGAGCAAAACCAAAATAATTATATGCGGAATAGTTGTTATTGTGCTGCTGATTCTGGTCATAGTGTTAGGAGCAGTTTTGGGCCACGAGCGCTCCAAAGCATCAGGTAAATGTTTTCTTCTATTCAATGAACTGACACGCTTAAGTTGCCCAGAAGGAATCGCACTTGGAATATCAAACCTTGCAGCTGCGAGGGTTTTAACGGTGTCGTTTCGTTTCTATGCAAGTAAAGGCAGCGATGATAAATTAGTTCAAATCCTCATGCAGGTGATTTATACACAAATCGCTCTTGCAGACGGGACACGCGCTGTGCAACTAATGGGATTGTTCTGTACACAGTTTTTGGATAAGGGTTAGTTGCTACCGTATTCTTCACTGGTGTCCACTGCAACACTCTTTAGCATACCAGAAATACCTTTGATGTTAAGGTTAATCGACCCTTAAATTCTGCGACAGCCTAAGGAGATTTTTCAGTCGCTCGGAAGTGGCCTATGTTTTCGACTAATCTAACGTATTGGAAATATAACATACTTGAAAATTAAAACATCTTAACGGGGAAGAGAGGTTCGAAAACTAAGACTTTGGAATGGAATTCTCACAGGTTTAGGAAATGAAGATAATTTGCTGCAAAAGAGGAGCCTCTTTTCAGCTTGATTTGTTGTTGTTGTCGTCGTTTTTTATATCAATTCTCTCTTTGTGATCAATGCACCAATGGACTCTTCCATAAAAAAGATATGGACAAAGAAACGGCTTTCAAATCAAGGAAAGTTTGTCGTCACGGACCCCAACTAAAACAGTCAGATAACAGTACAATTTAAGTGACAGAAACGGCGCTGATGTGTAAACGAATACCTGTCAACGCATTGAACCCCTTCGTGCCAAAAAAAATGTATTCCTCTTTCAATTTGGTTTCTTTTTTTTTTTTTTTTGTTCATCAAGAGATGTGAAATAAATCAAAGAGGAATTCCACAAAAATGACGTCCATTAATTTCCCAAATCATTATCCCGCAGAACAAGCCTCATTTGCGTTCTGTCTTGAGACGAGCGGAGGCAAGTGCGAGGCGAGCCTGATGACAGAGGCGTCTAATCTCCCCCCCCCCCCTTCCCTCTCAAGCGCGTGTCACCGCTCCTGCCGGATGTGTGCATTTTGCATATTTCGTCGCCATCAGGTCAAATTCCTACCATCAACAGTTATATGAACTATCTATATTTTTGCTGTAGACAGTTTTTGAAATTGTGGGCGTTTCGAAGTTGATTAACTATAACTAATCCTGAAATAGGTATGTGTACTTTTTCTATCAGGGCCAAGGCTTTCTATTGTATCATAAATGATATCTTGTCTTTTTCGATAAACAACATTTCAGCTTGTAATGGTTTCAGACAATTATTTAGTGCACCCGCAGGTGGTGAGGAGCGAGTCTCCACTAATTCTTTTATTAATTATATCGCCTCAGGCAGCAAAACTGGCATTCCTACTCCCTAGAGACTAATGAATGCCGCAATAAATGACTGAAATCGCTCTTGAATGATTCCCGATCCTCGATCCCCGTATCTCGATCGTTCCTTTACGTTTTCAAGGCCCCATTGTCGTTTCCTAGGTTACGCAATCGCAAGCTAAAATGTCAACAGGGTCAGTGCAATTTAGAACGCAGGGGGGAATGAGATTAGTGTAAAGTACAGCGTCCATTCTATTCGGAAGCCTTTTGACACAGATATGGAGCTAAAACCATTGAAGGAAGAACCAGGAAGCTCGCCTTTGAGTTCCGGATTTAAAGAAAGCGGTCCGACAAAAGATAACTCCAGCATCGTTAACAAGCGTACGATCATTATCTGCGGTATTCTAATATTTGTGTTACTGATTTTGGTAATCGTTTTGGGAGCTTTACTCGGGGCCGAAAGACAGAGAAATAAAGGTAAGTACCACAACATAGTATTTGGAAAATAGAGCATGGTTCAGCTTCGGACACAAGGCCCCACGGGGCAAAAAGAACTGAGGAACTATACCTCACTAATGAGTAAGATGCATGTAAACGCACCTCATACCACGTGCTTAGAGACAGCTTTGCAAAGAAACAGAGCTACTAGACCTTGCTTAGGTTTTATAGTAAGAATTTTTGGAGCGGCTCGGTTGTTTTGCATCTTGCAAATGAAGATGTGTGATGCGTGACGCATCGTAAATAATGCGTTGCTACTGTGGTCGATCCGATCTATCTGCATTCCGAAAAGCATGAATTAAAGTTATCAATCTGGGACCTCTGCCCATTAAATCTAGTGCGTAGGAAGTCTGCCGGGCTGAAGAAAGCTATTTTTGGCGTGGGTTTTTGGATGGTTTGTTTCGGAGTTACTTAGTCGTCTGATACACAGTTGATACACTGTTGAGTTCCCTTCTCATGTGATTTCTGGCTGATAGCTACTAGCGCATTATATTTTCAGTTCTTGCCGTAACACTACATATGACAGCAGAAGGCGATAAACATCTCGCAATCATTTTAGGATTGCGCGCGATTTTAAGCAACAAAAATGTTCCTTGTAGAAATATATTATATATTTACATATACATATATATATATATATATATATATATATATATATATATATAGAGAGAGAGAGAGAGAGAGAGAGAGAGAGAGAGAGAGAGAGAGAGAGAGGTGTGATCGGTCCGAAGAGAGAGCATTTTACCGTTTAAATCAGCGAATTATGTAGATCCGAGGATATAATCGTTTTTAAAAGTTCTTATTCTGACACTACAAAAGATGATAAACATCTCAGAATAATTTCACAGCGGCTTCCTCTGACGCATAATTTAAAGCAAAACTTTTTCTTACAGAAATATCTCAGTTAATGTGATCTGCACATCATGGAAGCTTTGAAGTAATCCTTTTTTTTCCTTTGAAAAGAGAGAATTTTATCGTTTGAATCGGCGAGTTGGCTTCGAAATACGATACCTTGAGTTATTCCACAGAATTATAAAACGATGGAACGGTAAATTGGCGGAATGGCGGATTATCTCAAAGGATTAGTAGGGTCCCGAGAAGTATTCTTTTTCTTTCCACCAAAAAAACCTAATACAAAGATAGAATACTCCACAAAGTTTCAGCCTCTATAATGCTTCCGTACCATATGAAATTATTGCAAGAAAATCGAGCAATAAGGCTGCCATCTTGATTATGTCCCCATCTTGCATGTCATCATCGAGCTCAACCTTGTCAGGAAACAAACATGGCTGCAGTAGAGCATCACTTCGAGTCAGATTCAGTCAGACAGTCAGACGTGATACTTGGCAGTTTGAACAGGTTGATTGCGTTCGTGGTAAACTTATCGAAACTGAAAGTAAGTGCATCTGTTGTCTCAAACAGTCCAAATCGGAAAACAGGTGTACGGAATTTATTTCATGAACTTTGTACTTTTCTGTCCTTCAGTATGCATGCAACTCGGCATCACCATCGATTGATTAAGACCATTCGATCACTATACGATTATGTGATAAAGACTTGTTCTTAAGACTCCCCTTGGAAATTGAGCCTTGCCAAAATGCGACATGTTAAAATTATTCTATGTCATAGCTGCATGACTATAATTGATATTTGAATTTCTTCCTACTTGTTTTTCTTATTACTATTGCTGTTGTTGTTGTTGTTGTTTTTTTCCTTCAAAAAGGCAAGCTTTCAACCAACACCTGTAAAATAAACATTGAAGGTGGTTTGGTTTTTTTGTTTTAAATACCACAAAACAAGCTCTTGAATCAGTGACTGTTTTGACACTGTTTAGATGTTACCTCACATGCCAAAATGGTGATGTATTGTATTACAGATCACAAAGTGTCTTCATTTTCTTAATATTGGTTTGTCTTAAGAACAACAATTATAGGCTAAGAAATGTATATGTTGAACTGATATTTATTTAACAATCAAGAATGCACAAGGCACCCCAGGTAGGTAAGAGTGATACATCTCAGCTTCGTAGTCTGTATTTCATAATGTGCAACAGTATTATCTTGCGTAAAAAATAGTCACTTGAAGCTCTGCCCAAACAGTTAAGGTTGTCAGGCATCTATGCCATGCTTATAACTTGTTTGAAGTGACAGGCTGTTTTAAATTTCTCATTCACTGGCAGTCTTGGTTGCCTTGTGGCTGTTAGCACCATAAACATAATGACTAGAGGATCTAATAGATGTCTATTTACATAAGCTGCCTCATGCATGGTTGTCACAGGTCCACGGGAAAAAGTAAAGGAAAAATAAATTTATTCAAGGTCAGGGAAAACTTTAACCCTTTAACTCCCAGATAAAATTTGAAGTTCTCCTTAATGTCAACCATAGAATTCATATAATGTTAGTTCAGAGAATTTAGTATTGGATCAACCAATTATCGCCAAATTGAAATTTTTCTCAATTTTCATCACTTATCTGTTTGATATTGCATTGATATTGTAAGGAGAAATTCTGTCTTGGTCACTCATGGGAGTTAAAGGGTTAAATGAAGTCAGGGAAAAGTGAAATTTCAGGTAAATATGTTGTTCATCATGGCTTGGCCCTCTTTGTGATGAAAGATAGTGACACTTACAAGTCTTTTTGTGATGAGATTTTGTGATGTGATGATGATCGGTCAGCGGTTAGCAGACAAGATGGCTGCTTATTTCTTCACTCTTGAGGAAATTGTAGTCAATTTGAGTATAGTGCTCTGTAGCGTGTGATATATTGTATCTGTTTAACATTGTGAGTATCTACCAGTATGCCATTCACCATATTAATTTTAAAGAGGATCTTCAGAAGATACAAACTAGATTAGTATTTATTTTCTGATCTTTTACGATTTGATGAATTGTTTAAAATGTGTAACTGACACTAGTGATATGGCCTGTGACTTGGCCAATTCACTTCCATCTTTATGTATCAATTCTCCTAGTAACATCCCACACCTCACTGATCTAGATGCTGACCTAAACATGCCTTTGGAAAACAATTTCTGTTTCTATAGTACTCATGATTTTCATAGTAATTATGACATCAACAAGTGTCTATTGAGTGGTCAATCTTTTTCTTTGATTAGTTGTAATATTAGGAGCCTATCAGCTAATTATGATAAATTGTCAAACATGTTATCAGAGCTATATTTTCCTTTCTCATTGATTGGTCTTACTGAAATCAAAAAGAAAATTGATCAGACTCCTATATCTAGCACTGATTTATGGGGATATCAGTATCTCTCCCAGCCAAGCCTTTCCAATGCTGGGGGAGTTGCCTTCTACATAAAAAACAACTTAAATTTTAACATAAGACCTGAATTTACAATAACTGCTGATGATTTTGAAGCCTTATGGATTCAGGTACATAATAATTGTCATTCCAGCTTACTCTGTGGAATAATTTATAGGCATCCAAATGGTGACTTAGAAAGATTTATTGAATATGTGAGCTCCACAGCTGATAGAATTAATCAAGAAAACAAAACTTGTATAATCATGGGAGACTTTAACATAGATCTTTTGAAATTTAAATCACACTCAGCAACTGATGGTTCAATTTAGCATTTTACAATCAGTGGTAATATAGTGTATGATCTCTCTGATAACTTTCCCAATTTCCTAATTTTTAATAAATTTTCATCACCTCCTAGCAATGTTAAAATATTCAAAAGAGATTACTCTAAATTTGATCAGCAGGCTTTCATTAGTGAGATTCAACTAATTGACTGGGAAACTATTTTTGCATCCAATGATAGTGCATGAAATATGTTTAAATCTTTTTACTTTAAAATATCTAGCATAATCAACAAACATATATCAGTCAAACAACTATCTAGGAGGGAAGTAAAGCTTAAATCAAAACCATGGATATCTAAAGCTCTACGAAAGTCTATTCAAATTAAAAATAATTATTATAAGAAATACATCAAGACAAAATCTACCTATTACCATACAAAATTTAAGCTTTACAGGAACAAATTAAACCATCTTCTAAAAATTAGCAAAAAAAAATATAATTTATAATGAATATTTTTTTCAAAATATTAAGGATGGTAAAAGGATCTGGAAAGGGATTAAACAAATAGTAAAATTTAAGCCGCATACTAGCCAAAGGCTCATTAAGATTGTAGAAAACAACTTAGAAATAACTGAACCTAAACTTGTTGCCAATGCATTTAATGATTATTTTGCCAATATTGGTAAAAACCTAGAAAGTCAAATACCAAGTGTATCCAATAGCCCAATGGTATATCTGAATAATCCTGTATGTAATAATTTTTATTTTTTTCCTGTAACTTGTAGTGAAATTGAAACTGAAATATCTAAGTTAAAAACTGGCAAGTCTGTAGGACCATTCAGCATTCCAATTGATATACTAAAAATGCTAAAAGCCTATATATCAAAACCTTTGGAGATAGTTTTCAATGCTTCTATTTCAACCGGAGTTGTTCCCAGTGATTTTAAAATAGCAGATGTTGTATCCGTGTTCAAAAAAGGATCACAGTCATCCTTGTGCAATTACCGTCCCATCTCCCTTATCTCTGTCTTTAGTAAGCTCCTTGAAAAACTTGTATATAATAAACTAATCAAATTCTTAGAAAAAAACAAAGTTTTATTTGAAAACCAATATGGTTTCAGAACTAAGCACAGTACTGACCATGCAATTCTTTGCATAATTGACAAAATTCAGAAAGCAATTGATGATCGAAGCTATTCCTGTGGTATATTCCTTGATTTTACCAAAGCATTTGACACCGTCAATCATCAAATTTTGATTAACAAACTAGAGTATTACGGTATTCGAGGTCTTGCCAAGGATTGGTTTATTTCCTACCTCAGTGGCCGACAACAACTTGTTACTGTCAATAATGCAACATCCACAAAATGTAATGTAAGTTGTGGAGTACCACAGGGATCAGTACTTGGCTCTCTGTTGTTTTTATTATATGTAAATGATTTTCATTGCTGCTCAGATATCTTTGAATTTCATCTCTTTGCAGATGATGCAAATTTGTTTTATAAAAGTAAAACTTTCTCTATGCTAGAATCAAACATAAATGTTGAATTAAATAATATTCACATATGGCTCTGTGCTAATAAGCTCTCACTCAATGTAGAAAAGTCAAATTTTGTAATTTTCCACGCACCTCAAAAAAAACTTGAATGTCAAAATTTCATGCTGGCTATAGATAATAAGGAACTTAAGCAAGAGTTCTGTATAAGGTATCTGGGCATCCTAATTGATTCACACTTGAATTGGAAACACCATGTTGATTGCATTGTTAAGAAAATTAGAAGAAGCACTGGTATCCTCTCTAAACTTCGTTATTATGTTGGCCTAGATATTTTATTAAGCTTATATTATGCACTTATATATCCTTTTTTGACCTATGGAATAATTATCTGGGGAAATACCTATAAGACCACTCTTCAACCAATTTTCATTTTACAAAAAAGAGCTATGCGATTAATTACCTTTTCTAGATTTGATGAGCACTCTAGTCCTTTATTTAAATCTCTTGAAATTATAAAATTCCTAGACCTAGTAACTTTTCATTTAGCAATCTTTATGTATAAATATCATAATCAATTATTGCCATCAGTCTTTAGTTCTTTTTTTAGTAAAATTTCGCAAATCCATACCTATAATACAAGGCTTGGTGCAAAACAGTCTTATTATCTTCCAAAAGCAAGAACAAATTATGGTATATTCAATATCAGATTTCAAGGTCCATCAGTATGGAATTCCATTGACGAAGATATAAAATTATCTTCATTGTCTTTGTTTAAAAAGAAAGTAAAGCAGCAATTTATCAAAGATAACTAGACATCTGTATTGTCTGTGTAACTTTAAAATGGAAATAATACTGTTTTGCAATGTATGAATTTTAGTCTCTTTAATATACTGGTAGTTTACCTTTGTGTGCGTTTCTGTATCTCTTTGTTTTTGTGTCCCTGACCTAAATATTTAAATATCTTTTCTTTCAACTGGCTGCCTGGCATTTTTAACTCTTAGATTATTTCGGGCAGCCAGCGCCCCTATGATTGTCTGTACTATTATTATAAATTTCTCTTTCTTGTATATTTTGGGGTGAAAAAATAAAAAAAAAAAAAAAAATAAAGTTGTTGTTGTTGTTGTTGTTGTTGATGAGATCCTTATCAAATACATTGTGTAGAACAGTTGACAAATTACTGATTAACCTATCTTTTTCCTTTGTAATGCAAGTTCAAGTTGGTTTGTGAATGAAATCATACATATTTTTTTTCTTCTACATAAATTTCTTTTAACCTTTGAAAGTCCACAATATATTTCATGGACATGAAAGGTGTTCGATTTCTTATTGTCTTGACCAAGGAAGTATCACTTCATGCACTCTGTCTGTAACTGGAAAGGATGACAGTGAGGAAAGGTTGGGCCACCAAAAGGACTCATTTGTGAAATTGTTTATTCAGTTGATCAGGGATGTTTAACATTTATTACATGGAAAAATCAGGGAATTTCAAAAATTTATGATTTTGGCAACCATGCCATGGCTGTTGGTACCATGAACATTGTTTAGAGGTTATAAAAGATGAACATTAACATAAAATTCAGAATACTAACTAATTCTGTTCTCTGTGATGGCACTTGCGCTTATATTTTTATGTAATGCAGGTGATTGTAAATGACTTATAAGTAAACAATCAAAAGAGCATATATTCCATAGGCATTAAGATTGTTCTTATCTATTATACATTATTCAGTCTATTTGAACATACCTAACCTTATCGACACTTGAAGGAAGAAGTTGAAAGCAGGGCCAGAAAGGTAATCTCGTGTATTTTAATCGCATCTAAATCTAACATAACTACTCAGTGTAAACAAAAACAGTAGTTGTGATTAAACATGATGATACTAGTCTAAATAATGGTATGATGGCAACAACCAATTTGAACTACAGTAAAATTTCACAAACTATCTTTATGCAGCGTTCTGACAGTATGTGAGGTGGATTTTTTAAGGAATACTCTCCTTACATAAAAATAAAAACACAAGTGCATTCATGATATTCAGCAGGACAGTAATGGGCAATAATTCTGCAGCTTATGTAAATAGACACGTGTTAGATCTTCTAGTCAATGTTTACAGTGCAAACAGCCATGAGGCAATCAAGACTAAGTGAGAAATTCAAAATAGCCTGTAACTTCAATCAAGTTGTAAGCATGGCATATATGCCTGACAACCTTAACTGTTATGCCAATAATGGCCAGAGCTTCAACTGATTAGTATTTAAGTAGGATAATACTGCTGCACATTATGAACTACAGACAATGAAGCTGAGATGTATTATTCTTTCTTTCCAAGGGTGCCTTGAAAAAAAAGTGCTTTTCTGGACCCTACTTCTTCTTTAACCCTTAAACTCCCATGAGTGACAAAGACAGAATTTCTCCCTACAATATCAATACAATATCAAGCAGACAAGTGATGAGAATAAAGAAAAATATCAGCCAGGGGATTATAAGTTGATCCAACACATAATTCTCCAAACTAACACCACAAGAACTGTGACAGACAGTAAGGAGAATTAATAATTAGATCTTGGGAGTTAAAGGGTTAAAGGCATTATATACCTCGGAGACAGAAATTTTCATCGACTTTCCATTTAGGAAACTTCTTCAGAGCACCGAATGTTTGTTAAGAAATCTCAAGCTTACCCAATTTTTTTTCGGTGTTGGAGAGTTTCCCGAGCCATTATGAACATGGTAACATTGCATGGCTTTCAACGCTTCAAAAACATTTCTGACCTAACGATTTTATTGTATGAAAAAACTTGGAAGATTCATCTACACTTAAAATTAAAGCCATTTTATGAATTGCGTGACATTTCTACAGGAACATCGCACTCTTTCATTAGCTTTGCATGAGGTATTCTGTGGGAATTCGATAAATATTTCTGACTGACTGTGCTCGGCAGTCAGAAATATTTACCCAGTTGCTACAGTTCTAATACCACATGGAATCCTTATGAGAGTGTTCGATGTTTGTTTTGAAATGCAAGGTGGCTCAAAAAATTACCATCCTTTTGGGGAAAGAACTTTCGAGGTTTTAAATACCATAAAATCGCTAGGTCAGAGGTGTTCATTAGTATCGAAAACCTAACTATTCTATTGTACGCAGAAGCACGGAGAACTATTATTCTACCAAAACCCCATTTTGTCCGAATAAACCTGATGACCTTACAACAGTGACACTCACTTCTTTTAGTAATGAATGAAAGAAGTAGAGGAAGATCAAAAACGCGTATAGTGCCAGGAAATAAGTACAAATAGCGGTAAGGGAGACGATGAGGAGGTGCTCTTATTTCTCACCACAGATACAGGCAAGACAACTCCCTTTGTTCCCCAGGGGGAGACTCATGGTCCAACAACAGCCGGCACTGAGGTGTGGTGGAATGTTCGTCTTCCTGACTACATAACTCCCATACATTATGACGTTGAGCTGCACATTGACCTGAAGAAACTGGAGTTTTATGGAGATGTGGACATCCATTTGAAAGTTTCAAAACCGACTAAAGTTATTCTTGTTCATGTAAACTTGATGAATGTTACCTCTGCCTCAGTAGTTGAATTTTCAAATGAAGGTGAGCAGGTGTAACCATTCTCCCACAAGTAAGTGTTGGACTCTTAGTGTGTATAGTAAGACGCTTTGAATAGCAAGCGTTGAGGGCTTTCGTGTGGGGAGGTAAGGTCAGGGTGAGGGCGAAATTGTGAGGATGCATCCGATGCCGTTTGCTACACGGCTTTCATTTCCGAAAATGAAGGATTGTTACTGAAGTTCATGCTTATGAACGCAACGTAAACGATCGTCTCTTACATTTTCGGAGTATTTCAATCATTTTTAACATTGCGCAGGTGATACCTTTAGAAAAAAATGCCACTACATCGAGTTTGATTTTACACTACTTCGAAATGGAGATGGCTCAAAACTGCCTGCAATCCTCCCATAATTTGTGATCAGTTTAGCTTCGTTTTGTTTTGTGTTGTTTGTTGCAGTCGTCAAGAGTGAAGACATTTTGAAAAATTAGTGAAGTTGAGAGCGCTTGAATTGCGAAATTTAATGCCCTTTTTTCATATCGCGAAGATAAAGTATTTCTTGCTGGCAACGATTATCTAATTTACAAGATTTGCCTCCTGATACAAACTACAGCAGCAATATTTGCTTCAGGATAAATTTATTTTTCCCACGAAAACCTTGGCACTTTTAAAATCTTTCAAAACGCAACAATCGTGCGTCTCTTAAATGGCCTGTTGGGTTAGGGTTTGGCAGGAGTTTATATCATGAGATGCCATTGTTTCTGTGGCTTTATTTTGGCCTTTGGATATGAGTGAAAATGTTTGCTTTTTTTAAATGCACTTTTTCAAATTTATCAGAATTACTTGAAATACAGGACAAGTTCAAGTTCGACAAAAACCAGTTCTATGTTCTTATAATGAAGTCACATTTAAAGGAAGGTGAATACAAAGTCAAGATGAAGTTTAAGGCGTGGCTGAGGAATGACCTCGCTGGATTGTACAAGAGTACCTACAAAAGAAGGGATGGAACAGAAGTGTAAGTTATCTGCTGCATTATTTATTTTTATCAAACAACATCATGCCACTCATTATTATCAGTGGATAGGGAGGGGATTGAAGAAAGGGGTAAAAGTCCGCGGATCAGTCCTTACTATATCTATAAATGGGTAAGTTTTTAAAGAAACTGTGGTGCTGCGTCGGCGGGAGAGTATAGCAGGTAATTTAGCGTTAACAACTGGGTTGAAAACATAAATTAGCCACCGTAAAAGATAAAAAAGCTGACGTTTCGAGCGTTAGCCCTTTGTCAGAGCTCTGACGAAGGGCTAACGCTCGAAACGTCAGCTTTTTTACCCTTTACGGTGGCTAATTTACGTTTTCAACCCAGTTGTTAACACTAAATTACCTGCTTACCATATCTATTTAGTTTTTTCTGATCCGAATCTCAGCGCCCCGGGGGGAGAGAAGATAACCCATATAAGTACAGTTACACCGACGGACCAACAGGGCTTCACTATCCTTCATTTTGCCCGCCATAACAGCAACGGCTTTACCAGGAAGAAACAAGTCTCAGGACCCTCCTTTTTTTTGTCTTGTGTTACGTTCGGTGATTTCTAGCCTTTTGTAGTTGATCTGATCTCCGACCCTCTGGGGTTGTCTACTCGTATCGATATCACTGTCTCTTCGCGCTGACTCTTAAACTTGGCATACTAACGAAATGAAATCTTAATTCAATAATACATCAACGAAGTTTTTATTCAGTCCCGAGCAAGTTGGAAGACATATAACTTAAAGAAACTGTGGAGTACTCAGCCCCCTTGAAAAGTTGTGCACGCCATCACTAACCGCGAGAGGACTGATTTTGCTTGGCTGTGAAAGTGCCAAGAACCATTATCCCCAACGCTATTAAACTAGTAAGGATGGACAGTGTTTATTATTATGTCTGTATTGTGATCGTAGGACAATTGCAGCAACACAATTTCAGCCGACAGATGCACGAAGGGCATTTCCTTGTCTTGATGAACCTGCCCTTAAAGCTACCTTCGCAGTGACTCTGGTTCATCATCCAATGTATATATCCATATCTAACATGCCAATCAACAAAACAGTCAAGAAGGAAGGTTGGCAGTTTGATCACTTCCAGAAAACCCCGAAAATGCCAACTTACTTACTTGCATTTGTAGTGTGCGACTTTTCAGGAAAGACTGTGACTTCCAAACGTGGCACAAATGTAAGTACTTAATTCATTTTGTACATTAAGTGATAGGATGCCCTCATTCAGTGACTTCAGTGTGTTATCGAATATGTCCAAAGAGATAGTGAATGGGTAATGACAGGGATGGTTTATAAAACCTGCTCAATAAGTAAAATATATTAGAAACGAATATGTAGGGACTGCAAATGCATAGAGTAAGGATTTGCTCTTTTCAAACCCGTAGAGAAAGACTCAACAAGAAATCTTTAATGTGACTTGCGATGAAAATGTAGGCCACATCTGCTGTTTCGCTTTCTTGGTATCAAAAAAGATAGTGTATGAAATAAGACTAAATGAATTTATACGATTTAACTGATGCACCTTGGTGTGCTATAAGTGATTCAAATTTCCCATTTTTCTTCGGTAGATGAGATTTTAACAATAAAGATGAATAGAATAAATGATAGATAATAATAATTATTGCTGTTATTTTATGGTTTATTTAATAGCCTATTTTTCTTCGGTAGATGACATTTTATGCTCCACCAGATCAAATTGATCAAGTAGACTATGCTAAAGATGTTGGCGTCAGAATGTTGAATTACATGGAAGAGTACTTCGGTATTGATTATCCCCTGCCTAAAGCTGGTAAGTTTTTTACCATTAACACCCATCCCTGCCTAAAGTTGGTAAGGTTTTTACCTTTAAATTCAGTTATTTAAGTCAATGGCGTCCGTGTAAAGAAGTGGATGTCGACTTTAATAGAAATTCATGAACATTTGATTTATTAGAAATTAATTTGTAAATAAAGTGTTTTAAATAATTTACTTTCGAGTGTTTGTTTGGGGTTGGAGAAGGTGGGAATGCTCATTAGAAACTTGATGCTATGCTGAGAGTAGTGGCTTATTAGAGGGGTCTTACGACACCATTCAAGGTTTAAGACTGTAATTTACTCACACCACCAGAACACTTGTTACTGTTGGCTTTTGCAGGAAAGTCTTAGGGTTAGCTTAGGGTTAGGGTTAGGGTTGTCGCTGTGCAAGGATTACTGTTTTTGATTGTTTTTTTTTTTTTTTTCTAAATGAATTCCTGTTATTACATTGTGTAAAATATGATACAAATAAAAAAAAAAAGATCTTAGCTATAACTCAGCCAAGAATGTGCATCTCTAATATAGAATATCAGTGGCACTGCACTTGTAAAGATTTTGAGCAAGTCATAGTAAATTTTCATTATGAATAACGAATGTTTATGGGGATGTATGTCTCTGTTTATTTTTCTTCTTCTTTTCTTCATTGTTAAATACGTTTCCTATCACGAACGGAATTCAAGTCAAAACTTTATGGAAAAACCTGCCCTGAGGCTCCTCAAGCTAGCTCATGGCCATGTGACTTTAAGCCCCTGCCCCTTCACCAAATCGAAAATTGCCAAATAGATCAAATGCACTAAAGAAGTTTGAATTGTGCTCTAGTTCACCTAACAAGTTTCACCTTTTCAGACATGATTGCCATTCCTGACTTTGCCGCCGGTGCTATGGAGAACTGGGGACTTATAACATATCGAGAGACAGCACTGTTGTATAAGCCGGGTGCTTCATCAGAGTCGAACAAAATGCGAGTAGCTTCAGTGGTGTCCCATGAACTTGCTCATCAGGTACAGGCAGTTTTATCTTGAGGGGATTTTTAAGTCATCAATTGAGCCAGAGCTCAGTGCATAGTTTTTCTTGGTGGCTACTGCCCCCTATAGGAGGCGAAGCTACATATGTCGTCGAGATAATTGAGTGAGCGAGTGAGTAAGTGAGTTAGTGATAATAAGATTAAAATTCCGATTTTGACCCAGTGCTACTTATTGTTTGTTTCGCAGTATCTTAGTCGTTTGACATTCGCACTCGATACACAGTTGAGTTCTTACCTTTTCTGATTTCTGGGTGACAGCTACTAACACCTCATGTTATCATCCTTGTTCCTACTGTGGCTACTGCCTTCTATATGATAGAAGGCAAAGCAACTAAGTTACGGGGATAAGTGAGTGCGTGATTGAGTGAGTGATTGATGGTAAGTTACAATGGAACTCTGATCTTGACCCAGATTTAACCCAATGTTTCCTGATTCTGCTGCTTTTTTTTTGGAGTATCTTATCTTACTTGCCCTACGGTCTCGTGCAATTTTGTTGTTTTTGAAAAGTTTACTCGTGCTTATTTACGCCAATTGCATTTGGATCATGTTATTACCTTCACACACAAAACTCCCTATGGAATTGAATATGGATACGTTGAAATTCTTTTGCTCAGTTTCTCAAAATAAAATTTACCTGGCTTGGGTTGAAAACCAACCCGAAAAGCCAGAAACCCTTTACGGTGGCCAATTTACATTCTACACAGTTTATAAAACGAATATTAACTGATAATTTAACTCATGCTAAGAAATTTTCAAGACTTCAGTGTGGTGAAATCATTGTAAAGTTATGTAAGCGGAACTAAAATTACTAGGGTGGTAAGTTTGTGTTATGCGTAATAGTAAACAGAGAATAAAAATGACTATTTGGTGGTGACTAGGTTAAAGTCCAAGCCATAAGAAAGTTTCCCTATTGGAAACGGAAAGGAATCATTTCAATATTCTCATCACTAATGAAAAAGAATGACGCTGTAAATTTTTATAGTCCGTGCATTTGTAATGGAGGGGAGGCATATAAACAGCAAAGAAGTTTCTTCTCATTTTTCATAGCTTCGGAACTAAAACTTACCTCATGCAAACAGCATCACGAGCAGGTTACAGAACATCTACAGATTTTAAATAAAATTATTAATTGGTTTTGGTTTCAAGTAGTTTTCACCTTTATGGGTATTTTCCATCGCGAGCATTAGTATCTTATACATATTTATATTTCATGCTGATTCTAGAAGGTACCGAACTCCCAACCCCCAACCCCTTTATTCCATTGTCTTTGGCGGTTAACTTGATTTGATGTTTATTTTTAGTGGTTTGGTAATTTGGTCACTATGGAATGGTGGGATGATCTGTGGCTCAACGAAGGCTTTGCTAGCTTTGTGGAGTATTACGGTGTCAATGCAACAGAGCCTGACTGGAAAGTGGTAATGTTTGTCCTTCAGCGTAAACCATTTTGTTTTACCTATCCTTCGGGCACGAAAGGTGAAAGTACACTTAAAATGATGCGAAGTACTCAAAGGTGCTTCAAATCTTGATACCTGAAATCAGGTGTATTTTCCGCTTTCACTTCAGAGGTTTTATCTATGATCCGTTAGGCAAAGTATATACTGAAACTTAGATGTAATATAAGAATACCAGGGTTTTGTTACTTTTGTCCTCACCACAGTTGGATCAGTTTGTGGTAGCAGATTTGGTTTATGCATTTTCACTGGACGGCCTAGCAAATTCCCATCCGATCAAAGTGCCAGTATATCATCCTGACGAAATCAATGAGATATTTGACTCCATTTCATATAATAAGGTATGCCTGTACAAAAGTCGCTTAGAACATTAACTAATTTGTGATCATCACTTACACTCCAAAGCAAACTCGCCTACTACTCTAACCCTGGTAATGGCATCACTATTGAACGATGGCATAGAATTTTGAACTGCCGAATATAAATCTTAAGTGCTAAATAAAATATACGTAGGTAGCTTTAAAAGAGGAAAATATCACAAAGACATTCCACTGAAGGTTTAAATTTAAGATAAGTAAAACAAGAGCCGTCCGTCTGAAACTAACTGGTAATTTAGTCTTAACAACTGAGTTTAAAACCAAATTGGCTACTGTGAAGGGTGGAAAGGCTGACGTTTCGAGCGTTAGTCAGCCTTTTCACTCTTTACGTGGCTCTGACGAAAGGCTAACGCTCAAAACGTCAGCCTTTTCACTCTTTACGGTGGCCAATTTACGTTTTCAACTTAGTTGTTAACACTAAATTACCTGCTATACTCTCCCACCGACGCAGCACCACAGTTTCTTTAGAAACTAACCCCCTTTATTCATTCGTCTGAAACTAAGTCGCGCGTTGCTGCTGTGATACAAAGAAGCCTGTCGTATTTAGTATTCGTGGTGAATCCATTTTGACCTTCATGGCTGTAGGGTTTCAAACGTCGGGCTACTGCCATTAGTTGAATTTGGGTCTCAAAAGTGTAGGTTCTCACGTCAGAAATGCGATGTTTTAAATAAACCTAAGAAGTAAAACCTGACTTTGCTCTGGATTTTTAATTGGCTCTTGGAGTTTATAATTTATATAGCATAATTCATCATTTACTGGGAAAAAAAGGTATCTGAATGTATTTCCTCTATGTTATTTTAATTTAGCTGTTTGAACTGAAAATATATAATCTTTAGAACCCAAAGTATGTATACACTTGTCGCATATTGAAATGTTTGGTTTCAAAGGAAGGGCAGTAGTTTGGTTGGCTTAGTTACACGGGTTTAATCCAGATTACTTTTACTTCAACAAGTCATTTCAGTTATTTTTCATTTTTCCTCTGCAGGGTGCATCAATCATTCGCATGCTTCAGTATTTCCTTGGACGCGATGTATTTTTGAAGGGCTTAACAGTGAGTATAGTCTCCAATAAGTGAAGGTCAATCCGAGCTTAGAGGAAACAACACGCTCAAGAAAATTTGATCGGCAGCAAAGAGCGCAGCATAGAGGTTAACACGCAGAAACAATTTGTCGGTGCAGTAGGGTTGAACTAAAAGCCTTATACCTGAGAAAAACAGGCTTTTGTAACGGACCAGTTAAAGTAAATCAACAGCATCGTGAATATTCAGAAATAAACTGCTCAAACAGCTAGCTTTAGATAGTCACACAAGTTCTCCGTTGTTTCGCTCTTGTTTGTTGAGTTCTGATTTGGTTGAGAAAACAGTCTTAATGAAAATTTCAATGAGATGTTTTCTCAGACAAGTCCGTCTATTTCAATTAAAACCTTAGCGCGTATGCTAAGAACTGTGGAAGCAAAGACAATGAAATAAACAATGTATTAAAACAAATGGAAGAAGTTAGGTCACACATTGCGAGCGCGATCCTGTGGACACTTGTAGAGATCAAGACAAATGTAATGAGGTGAAGCTATCTACAAGGGCCAATCAACGTGCGCAAAGTGATATAAATGAACGATTTGAACAGAGCTAAATTGTAATTTGTTTTGTACTACCAATTAAGGTTGCTCTCCAAAAGATTTGATTGAGTTCGATTGCCAAACCCAACTCGCCCTAAATTGATCCAAGATTGTAGTACGAAATAGAGAAATGATTCTCGTAGGTGAGCTATAGTTTAAGACCTTTTGCAATATCTTTCATGGAGTTCGCATACTTGGACCATTTCTTTACCTCTACATCATCCGAAAGTCCGAAAAATTTCTTTTTATGTCAGTTAATTGAGATTGAAGTTGGATTACCAAGCTTTCGCTTGTTTTCGCTGGAAAAGTAAATTGTATAGCGACAATTTGTTTCCTCTAGAACTATCTGAACAAGTATAAGTATGGGAATGCTGTGACAGATGATTTGTGGAAAGCTCTTGCAGAGGTAATCCTCATTTATATTCATTATTCTTTTCTTTTTTTTGTTACAGCTTTTGTGCTTAGACGTTTTAGGAAATGTTAATTTTTAGCTTTGTCGCGCCTCGTGAATAGAGCTCACTGAGCCGTTTTCAATCCTGTGTAAGGTGTTCATTTAAAGCTGAGTGATAGAAGTGCAGGATGAAAGAAGGAGGAGGCTTGGGTCAAGCCACACATCCCAATCCCCCCTCTTTTTTTCATGAAACGCTTCCGTCGCGCCCCGTCTACCGAGTGAATGCTTGGAAAAGGAAAGCCGTTCTCGTGATTTGTCTCGAGTCTCCCAACCAGAGGTGGTGAAAGACTTCAAATCCGTCAACAACAATATTGAACTATTTACCTTCACTCGCATAATTGCAAAGTTACAGCCTTTGTTTTTTTGTTTGGTCAGGAAAGTTGTGCTCAGGGAAAATGTGTAAGCGTCAAACAAATGATGGATACCTGGACTCTTCAAATGGGCTATCCAGTGCTGAGCATCACATCAAAATCAAATACTGTACAGAGAGTTTCACAGGAAAGGTTCCTCTATGACCGAAGTTCCAATATTACCTCAAAATACTCAAGCCCATTCAAGTAAGAAAATCAAGCTTATGTTATTCAATGATTTTTTTACGTGTTTATTTATTCATCCATGTAGTAAATATGAAGTTTGACACCTGAACATCATTCACTTACGCCCCATAGTTTCAGCAAAAATATGCTACAGCGCGTAAGATTCTTGCAATTTATGACAAAGGAGTTCGATAAAAATGCCCTTTCCTCGAAAATCTGTTTATACCCAAAGCATCAGGGGGCGATATGAAAAAAAACTTGTGAAAGATAAGTCGTTCCATTCAAGCAGGTCTTGTCCTTTGTTTTATGGAGGTTACACCCACTGAAAGTTCGCACTCTCATAGACGAGTTCGTCTAAGAAAGTTTAACGAGTTTAACCCCATCTTTACCAGTACGCCCCTAAATCCGAACAGCTTCTAAAATACTTTTATTTAAATGTAAAAATGATAAAAGAAACGACGCCCGTCACTTGGAATGAAAAGTAGTAAGTGTTACTTAAACAGAATCGACACTGAACACAAAGTTTGACTCCACCTATCTTCTTTCCATACTAAATAAACAAAGTTAACTCCACAAATCATACGTCATATTTCAACTAAAATAAGTTTTTCACAGCGATTTTTATTGATAAAGATAATCATAAATATTTTAACAAATTTAATAAAATGACACCCCTTGTTGAAGTCGATCGAGAGGGATTGGAAACTTCTGCTAATTTGTAAGATTAAGAATTTTTGTTTGTCGGTGGTTAAGGTTCTCGACGCTAACTCTCGATCTGCGTAATTTCGGGGTAACAAGCTCTTCTAAGTTTCACGCAAACGCAAGCTTAAAACAGTGCAAAACCTTAAGCATGAGGACAAGTGTTACTTTATATTACTTTTGCAGTCGTGTGCGAGATAACACAACTAAGAATTTGCTTTTTGATAATTCTTTGTTGTGTTAATTTTTAGTCGATTTTAACGGTGATCATATATGATTTCGTCAGAAAAGGAGCACGCTCTACCGTAGGTATGAAAGTTGAAAGATTTGGGGGCGATCTGGCGAAAGTGGGTGTAAGTCTTGCATGTATTACAATTGAAGACCTTGTGAAGGGGCGAACTCGGAGAGGAAGTGGCGAACTCGTGCTGCGACTTGTTAATAAACTTACCCAGAGAAGTGAATTAGTTGAATTATAAATTTATTTTTTAAGTATTTGTGGTGACCTAAGAAGAAATCTTAAGAAATTAGCCTTCTAACGGAAGTGTACCGTTAAGCCTCGACTTTATGCACTAGAAAATATTTAATCGCCTACGGAGGAGTCATTAATTTGTTTATCCATATCCACAGCTATACGTGGGTTGTACCATTTACATACAACACAAAAAACTCCGCTGTTACTGTGTCCAAGCCTCTAAATATGACTTCAGGTGAGAAAAGCTTGTCAGTCCTGATAAGTTAGTAATAATCTCAATTATGATAATGCCTGGCTAGCGTGGGTGGTAGAGCGCTGGACTGCTTACTTCAAGCCCGATGTCTCCTTCAGCTCCTGCTTTACCTTGACTTCCCTAAAATCCTTTCACCAGGATATCCCACAGTTCCTTGCCTTCCATGGGGCCCAGGATCTCTCTGAAAGAGACAAACAGTTTTGAATGGACTGCCCTTACGAAATGTAAAAAAAAAAAAATATATATATATATATAAAGATCGAAAAAATATGAGGTTTCTGACAGACTGAGAATAATGTAATATACCTTCTAGTCCTATATATTACTAAACAAAATTTCGAAATTAATACCTCCCAATCACGGCGGTCAACAACAAGTTCGAACCAGAGCCCTGCAGTGCAGGAATCTTGTTGAGCGTAAAAGTTGTGGTCACTGAAACATTTGTGGCCGTGGTGCTCTACAAAATAATTTCAAAAGAAAAAAGCAGCAACAAGATCAGCGAAAATAAGTATGGCTGCTACTCAGCCCTGACTAATAGCTATTTAAATACGGTATGTACTCGATTTCACACCGCAGATGGAAGCGAAACAACCAGTAAACGCAAGCCTTTAATGGACCCGTATCCAAGCGGAAGAATGCCATTTATTTGAGGTCTATGATAAAAACATATTTGCAAAAGCGGTAGAACTTGCTAAAATGCTGGAACGTTGGAGCTTAAAAGATGTTTCTGCTTTGCAAATGTTTAACCCTAATTTTTGCCGCTGATTTAGCAAATAAGGTTTTAAATCCGACGCCGCCCTTGAATAGACGTTACATCAGAAACGTTCATAAATTAGTAAACGTCGCAGCGGTTCATCGAATTAATAAGGAAGTGTTAATATGTTTGTTTATGTTTTCAGTGGAAATTACTTGGGATGGGATTGGTTGGATCAAAGGCAATGTGGGTCAAACAGGATTTTACAGAGTCAACTACGAACAAGCGCAGTGGAGTGCACTAACAAATCAAATGGATACCGATTACACAGTAAGTAACCTAATTGTTCATGTTCATGGTGACGATCTTTATGGCATTGGCAATGTTATATGTTGATGATACTTTATTAAATTTTTGGAAGAAATTTGACGTAAAGGATCGTGCAGGACTGATGGATGATGCGTTTAATTTAGCCAGGTAAATAATTATTTACTTTTCTGAAATGTATTTGAACGTAGATGACATAAAACAATAACAAAATTATACTGCGGTTTTTTTTTGTCGAACGAGGTTCCCAGCTAAACGAAAAGCGGAAGGAAAGGGCGTTAGATATGAGGAGTGTTGCAATTATTTGGAGGGATAGACAATGTAATTTACTATGCCATTCGACGCAGGTCAGACAAAGCTTCGATTGGTGAGGGATATGACGTTTTCTTCAGAATCAGTTTAGCGGCCCTGTTTTTTTAGTGCATTTAAGTCTGTATTAGTAGCATAGATAGAGCCGTGAAATATTGCACTTTTGGAGAGCGAAAGTGAATTTGCATCTACGAATTGACCGGGAAAGCGTGGTTACTTTTTATTGGAATTTTACATCTGTTGGAGAAATCAAAAGGATTTATTAAACTAAATTCATTTTAATTTTTATCCAGGGGGGGTTATATCAAGTACACTATTCCGCTAGACGTCACCAAATACCTGGCAGATGAAGATGAATATGTACCGTGGAAAGCAGCCAGCCATAATCTTGGCTTTATATCAAGTATTGTGCCACAATCAAGCTCTGCCTATAAGTACCTAGAGGTTTGTACATGTACAGTAATGAACTGAGTCAAGGGTAGCCGATGTTGGTTTGTTTCCTTGCAAGTGTAATTACTCATTAAAAGTCTTTAAGACGGTAGCTCGCTAAATTCCCAGCCATCTCATTTGCGAAAGTTTTTGTCCGTTATCAAATCGACCATTTAGAAATCAATTATGTCGCACATAAGATTTTACATCTTCCTGTGCACTCTTCTAAAACCGAGGCGCGAGCGTAACGTGAATGAAAGCCATTAATTCAACGTAGAATGGAACATCATGCATAAGTCATTCAACAGCCATCCCCACCGCATGTTCCCAGTCTCATTTAAAAGCGATTTTCATAATTATTTTAAGAGATCAGGAAAAGACATTCATAAGTTCAGTGCCACGAGGAGATGGGGTCACTAGTCCTTAACTTTAGCTCTAATCTTTAGAACAGTTTAGATTTCTCTTCAGGAGAAGAAGAGTCACTAACTCCATTTAGGTGTGGCCTGTTTAAAGTCGTGTTACAATTTGTATTGATATCCCTTACTTATTCTCCTTTTGCGTGCATTTTTTTTTATTTCTTACATCCCGGTATTTATCAGCTAGTTTTTAGTCTTAGCGTAGTGTTCTTTTATGTGAGGACCCTTTTGTACTTAAAGGGCATGTAAACCCAAAAAACGTTCATTTTCTTTTCACATAGATGTTTTGTAAATATATCAAGTACACCAAAGATACCATTCGTTTATTCTCAAAAGTCCATTTTCACTTTGTAAAAGCCCTTCCAAATTGGAAACATTCGCCATCTTGAATGGCGCCATCTTTCCTGTGACGTCACGGGTGGACCCTCCAAAGTCTCGTTTTATAATCGCGTGAGGCATGAAGGAGTCTTCTCTACAGCCGTTGTTTGCTGGTCTCGTCATGATTTTTTTACTTACAGTTTGCTTCAATATATTCAATTTTTTTCGTAATGGTGAAGCGTTGTGTCGTCCAGTTTTGTACTGATTCAAACAAAACTGGGCATACAATGCAAATATTTCCAAATGACGCAAATTTGAAGCGACAATTTGTGAAATTTGTTCAAGTGAAAATAGCCAATTTCGTCGAGCCGTTCGAACGTTCTGTTGTTTGTAGCAGTCATTTTTCTTCCTGGTGCTGTACCGACGATTCAGGCCTCACCAGAAGCAAATTATTCGGAAGTATAAAAACGACCCATACAGTCGGCAGACGACGAGGATTCGGAAGTGGCCGACCGAACTGAGAAAGAAGTTGAGCTCTTCAAAAGTTAGAGGTCAACAGAGAAAGTACAAAATCGATTTACATGAAAACGTTTCGTTAATTAAACAACAATAGCTTTATTGGTTCTCTAAAAACATCTTTTTTCTCATCTAATGAAATATTATGGGGGAGCCAGTTGTTCGGGAGCCAGCGCTGAGCCCGTAAAAGACACTGACATGTCTGAACCTTTGCCTGAATTCGAAACACGTATCAAAGAAAGAGAATTCGTTGATATCAGTGTGTAATAACGTGATCTGGAATTTTGTCGGTTCGATACAAAGAATTCTATACAGGATCCCATAATCAACCCTTATGTTCTATAAGAAAATCCAAGCCAGCCCCACTTGGTGCTTCCTTTGAGAAACCCTGAAGAGAAACAGCAGAAGAATTTGTGTCACGGTTTTCACAGCAGTGAAAATACATTCAAAGGTCAGTAGGACAATATTCATCATTTTGAGTACAACTTAAAAGATCCTGATTTCAGCTTGCAAAACTATCTTTTCAATATTTCAAATCGAAGCAAACACAAACAGGGTTGGATAATTATGAAGGCCACACAAGGAAATGTAAATGATACAACTTGTTTATCGATGGAAATGCTTCTGAGATGAAGGATATTGTTTACCGCACAAGATAGCACAGCGACCCTAAAGTGTTTGCCGAGATATCCCCAACACCAACGAACAAGCTATCTGTAGGCAATTTAGCGAAATTTCCTGTCAGGAAAGAAGCGAAAAACAACTAGCTCTAGTACTGTATTATTAAATCAATGGCAGAAACAACTCAAGTAAGTCGATCTCAAAATGTAACAAAACAGATGAAACAGAAAATATTTAGCTTAGTCGTTTCCGGTGTGATTATCTGTGCTTTGCTGCTGCCTGTACGCGTACTTGGCCGTCTCCAGCACCCAGAAATCGAGGCAAATGGACTGAAAACCTGGATGCTCAGTGATACAACTTATCTGGGTTTCAGGCCATTTTGCCACAATTGCCCGATTTCCGTACAACAAACACTTTCATGAGTTGTCGGCATTGGTTGACAAGTTCCACACTCGCACCTTTGATAATTTTATATAAAACACTTTCAGAAGCTCAAGTTAAAAAAAATTCTGTTGCATTCCTTTAGATTGTACCCTCGCTTTATTGCATTTTCATGTTAAATACAAATAAATCACAAAGTAAATTAAATACCAGTCTGGGTTTCCGAGACGGTCGCATCGCTGTCGACATGTTCTGTAATGTTTTCGTGCGGATCGCTTCGGTGAACCCTACGCGGCTCATATTGTTAAGGACGTGGCCCAGACTCTCCTGAAGATTCTGGATTATCCCCAGCGCTGTCATGTACTAAGCTTAAGGCATTCGAGTCGCTATCTTCTGAAAAAACATCTTCCGAACTACCGCTACTTACACGAACTCCCACACCAGTTCTACTGGGGAATATGTGTTGCGCAATATTTTGGTTCCACCGCTTACGTCACGACTTCTCGCTATTGTTTTTACCGGAAATGGAATTTCAGTTGAAAATGCCGATTTTCTCCTAAAATAAGTCGAATTGGACAAAACTAATTTCAAATTCGTTTTCTACGCCACTTTTTACATAGTATAAGAAAAACATGTATTTTTGGGTTTACATGCCCTTTAATTGTGACGGTGGTTTCCTCAAAAAAGATAATTATTATAATTAAAAAGGATATCTTTGAAGGATATATTTGTCGTTAAACATGATTAATGATTCAATTAATTGATAAATGAAAGGGCCAGTGTTAGGGTTAGGGTTTTCCTCTACCTCAAGACATACATTAATGTGTTTTTAACTGCTGTTCTGTTGCAGAAATATCTCCAGCATCAGGTCATGAAGCAATACCAGAAGCTTGGCTTTTCAGACACCGGAGATCACCTTGAAAAGTAAATTTGAGATTTCTTATTTTAAGTTCCATCATATCTAATTCATTCAAGCTTCTGAATGAGCTCTTATCTTGGGAGCAAATGCAAGCTAAAGTATAATGCTAGTTAAAAACTTAAGAGTCATCAATGTCAACTGAGAATTAACCAAAGACCGCTAAGTCAATATATGCTAATAGTTGAAGTTTCATGCAAAAAAATAAACGAGCCATGATGTAGTGTAAATTAATGATTGATTAGCTCGGGTTATTTCACTTTTGCTAGACTGTACTCTGTTTGTGTGTCGAGATTCGGTTTAAGCTCGATGAAGTATGGCATTTCTTTATTGAGTTTGCAAAACTTTTTTTGACACCTCCTCAGGACTGAGAAGTACTTTATTTTACCTTGATAATGATTCTGTTACAATATCTAAACGCTGTACACAGATAGGAATCTGTGCGTAAAACTCAACTCAATTGTATGCTGATTAGCAAGTAAAATCCAACTGGAATTCATGAAGTGGCGTTAAAAACCAATTGATACGATAAACTCTATTAAGATAGTTGCTGTTTATTTCTCGATTTTTTCCTATTGGTGTGCCTCATTTTTCAGGTACAAAAGAAGTATAGCACTCAATATAATGTGCGGCGCTGGAGAACCCTCGTGCCTCAAGAATGCATCAGATTACTTTAAAAAATGGAAAGAGGATCCCATCAGTAATCCGTAAGTTCAGTTGGTTTAGTCAGAAAATTAAATGATCGTTAAATGAAGACGAAATGGTCAATTGTTGAGGTTCCTTGGACTTCATCTGGTTTGGTAATTAAGTAGTTTTCTCTAAAGGCACGCCATTGCACGAGGTTAGCCCAAACCCTAATGTGAATGAGACCAAAACAATTAACGGTTAGTAGATTCACACTCGATTTGACTGGTGCGGTAGGTGATTAAACTGTCAGATTGACGAACAATTCATTAATCGATCTTTCTTACGTAGCTGAACTTCAATAAAATATATTCATTGTAGCAGGACACGTTCAGCCTCAAACGATAGTTTTGTAACAATGTCATGGGGTCGGTAATAAGCACACACTTACATGTTTTAAGGAGAATACTTACAGAAAAGCTCCAGGCTCTTTTAGAAGTTCTTTTAATTTTTGGAACTTTGTTACCATTCGACGATTTGCTTGATTCATTAACAATTTGTTTTCCAGCGTTCCGGCCAATTTTCGTTCACTGGTTTACTTTTATGGTATAAAAAACGGTGGGGTAGAGGAATGGGACTTTGCTTTTAAACAGTTTCAAAAGACAACTGTGGCGAGTGAGAGAAGAAAGATCTTGTATGGTTTGGCTGGTGCTAGTGAGCCCTGGATTTTGAGCAGGTTAGTGTGGTATTCACCATCGGGGTCGCTTCCACAAACAAATATCTTTGTTGAAGAATATCCACCCCTTAGGTATTAAATCTTATTCAAGAAAATTTATTGAGAACATAACGAAAATGTTAATGTTTTGATTGCAATACGTCTAAGCAATAGGCAATAAGTTTTGTTTTAAATGCGCTTTACTTGGTTAGATATGCTTATTATTGTCTAGACCATATGCTCGCGAGTGAGTAATGTTTTGCGTTTCGCGGATCACGTCTTCTTTCAGGCTTACCATCTCGTAAGTAGTATTTCGTTTCGTTCCGTTTGGTTTAGTTTCCTTTATTCAAATCTTATTGTTTTCATTTTAGTCAAACCAGATCATACGAATCAGATTAACCAGTTCGTAGAGGTGTCGAGTCGAACATTTATCTACATGATGATATGTGCTGATCAGCGTGGGAAAAACATCCTAAAAAAACAACAACAAAACAAGAGAAGGCGGACAGAAGCTCTCTGTGTGTAAACCATGATAGATTGGAGCCCTTTGACTTTTAAGAAAAAAGATTGGAAATTTACCATACTCTATTTCGTGCATTCCAGTTTTATTTTTAAGTTCAAAACTTCTGAATTGAATTTGCTTTTACTTTTAAACAAAATGAGAGAGATAGTCAATTTTGGACGTGGTAGTGAATAAGAGAAAGATGTTTTTCTCCTTGTCACGAGCGTGAGACAGAATAAACTCCGAGTCCCCTTAAGGAGTCGAAACTCCGCGCTTCAATGCTCTACCACTGAACCACAGAGACTCGACGGTGATTTAAACCATGACAAGGTTTCTTTGTGACAAGCTTCCCGCTTACAGCTAGGATCAGCAATGTCAATTGAATTGTTAAACCTGTCATGAAAATTATGTATTTCATAGTGCACGGATGATTCTTCTGTTTATCATTCGTAATTACAAGCGAAGTCTACGAATTGAAAGTATATTAATGGTATCGCTGTTGTAGCGCACTATGTGAAATGATTTTATTTCAGCCTATCAAACCTGTATGAACAGCTACCTTTCTTACGCGACCAGCTAATTCCTTTTTAGGATTGTTGTTATAACACCATCTTAACGCTGTACTCTGCGATGAGAGTTACTCGTAGATGAAATGCACTCCATACGAACCGTGAACTAGTTTGACTGTAAGGGCTATCCGTGCGTAGTTTCCGTAACGTTTAACTCTATGTCATGACTGAGATTTTTGTTTGTAAGTCACATCTTTTTATTGAGACTTTCCAATGTTTTTTCATGGTCAACTGGGTGATGGGGCTGGGGGCGGGATCTTGCAAATCACACTGTAATTTGCTTGAGAGTGCAGGGTACTCACGGGTTTTCACTAAGCATAAGTTATACAGATTTTACGGTCATAACATTGTAACGCTGTTCCCAGAGTAACACAGTTGATTTCACTTTGTCAATGAATTGTCCTTTTTTTTCCAAGGTACTTGCAATACTCGATCACTCCAGACAAGATTAAGTCACAAGACACTTCCAGAGTTTTATCATATGTGGCTAACTACAACCCTAATGGACGGCAGTTAACTTGGCAGTTTCTCAAACTGAACTGGGCCATGATTAAGGAGAAGTAAGAAGTGAATTGTATCATATCATCAGTTGAAACGTGATGGGTATAGTTCTGACAACTATTTGTACCCATCTTACGCGTGAAACTAAAATGTAATCCACCTATTGATTCCTCTCTCAAGGTTTGGTGGTGGTTTCTTTTCCATAACGAGTATAATCCTCAGTGTGACATCAGGATTTTCCACGGAGTATGAACTCGAAGACGTAAGTTAATAAATTCACTCAAATTCACCAGTTATGGGTCGAAACTTGGAGAATATTTTCCCTCTTTCATCGCGAAAAGAGTGGAGAATGTAGTGCACGGATATGTCAAAGTTGGCTTTATAAGAGATCGATAACTGGGAAGGAGGATGCTAGTGAGCCCACCATACTTAGTATTCATCTGCCTCATCTACTTCTGTAAGAATTGCAGTCGAAGAGGAAAAGTGGGGCGAGAAAGGTATCATGAGGTAGAACTGTGCCGTAATGGTTACCGAAAAACTATTGACCCCTACAAGTAAGGCCAACAAACGCAGAGAACCCGGCTAGATGCTTGTATTACGTTTATAATTTCTTTTAATTTCCTTCATGCCAGCTTATCACTGTTTTTTTTTTTCCATTCGTGCAATTCTGCAAAGCTTAGCTCAGATATTTCGAGCACTAAAACCGGCCACTAAATACCTATCCCCTAAAAAATGCCCTTAAAGAAAGCTTAAATTACTCTTAGTAGGTAGAGGCGTACAAAGACAATTGAATTAAGTTTTTTCTTGTGTTTTTAATCTCGTTCAGCTAAAGAAGTTCAACCAGATGCACTCTGCTGGGTCAGGAACGCGAGCACAACAACAGGCTGAAGAGGGTGTCATGGCAAACATTCAGTGGCGCAAAGAAAATGAACAGGATGTGGCGAAATGGCTTAAAGATTTTCTTGTAAACAAAAACATAACACTCAACTAGAGGGCGCTTTTTTTTCTTTGGAGTATTTTCATTACAATATTTTAGGGTAACATTTTAGTGGTTATCAGTTCGTTACATCATTGATATTTCAGTGGTGTTGGTGCTTCTTTAGAAAATAGTTCAGTGACACGAATAACAGCTGGTTATAGCCTAAGAAGAGAACCGACTTAAGAATTGCACAGCACCTTTTACAACCGTTGTCTTAACGACCAATTCCTTATATCATAAACGTATTTTCGTAAAAGATCAAGATGAAAAATGCCCCAAACTTGTCTACATATGGATATTTCTTTCAGTTGTGCGTTTCATTGCATGATCTACCCAGTTAAAGCTTTGTTTAGAGTCGGTAACAACTAGAGAGCGAGTGACATTACATGATTTTTTGGTCTTTGGGATTCATGAATCATTTTTTATGTTTAGAAGAGGTAAGCACCAGGTTCGGGTCATGCTTTACCTTAGCTTTTTCTTTATACAGCTACATGTTAAGTGTGTTTAAGATACAACTCGCGTTATTACTCGTATCTCTTTAATTATGATTGTAATTTCATAGAAATTCTCCTTGGCATTCTAATAAACTTTGTACTGGTGATTGCATGCAGTTGAATTAATTTGAGTTGAGTACTTCTTTGACTTAAGGGGACTCTCATGGGTTAGAGTTACGAATAATATTGCAAATTCAAGGAGTTTTTTTGTTGTTCAGGTTTTTTGTTGTTTTCTTTTCTTCTGTCCCTCTAAGTAATCACTCGATTGATTAACCCATTGGTTGGACTTAAATGTCAAGGGCCAAGTGAAACCATAGGGTAGCTTGACAAGTTACTCTGCCGGGAATATTTTGGCGTTTTAAATTTAGTCTCCTTGCGAATGACAAAGGCATTTTTCTAAGCACATGATCCTTGACTGATCTCATGAGAAAGAGCTTCCAATTTATTAGCTTATGATTCATCACACAGAGAAATGGTGAATTAGTTTGAGAATGATTTTATTGCTTAACTGCTGAGCTTTACCTTCCCAAAATTGCGTTTGTCGTGTTATAATACTTTGTATTTTTATTTTGAAGTAATCCTAAATATGTTATTAGCGTTTAGCTGGGTCGCTAAAGTCAAAACTCTGTTTTGTTTGTTCTCCTGTTTTAGATAAGAAAACCTTAAGCCAGTTCTCTATATCTTTTTCGTTTCTTTTGATCCATGCTATATTGGACTTTACCCTCTCGACCACTTGTGATAAAGATTGGCCGCTCAATCCCGACCCATCGTCGCGTCCTTTGACAAAATTAAGAAGCTACACGAAGAAGAAAAAAGGTTCAAATGTTTAAACTTGCACTGAAACGTTAGTCGCTTGTGAAATCCTTCAGTAGCGACTAATTAAAGAGTAACTTGGCCAGAGATGTATGGATAACACAGGGACGGCACTAGATGAGAGATGCATAAATTACACAGGAATTTCATTCGAAGAAAGGTGTTACAGTGACACAGGAATGGCACGAAATGAGACATTTACGGGTAACAAAGGAATACTCAGATAAAGATACATTTCATGAGCTCAGATTACAACGTTTGAGCTTCTGAGTTTTACCATACCTCGGAACTAACAAACAAGTTCACAAGAAACAAAAACTATAATGCACAATTCCTTCTTTCTTACTTTAATTTTCGCAATCTAGCTTACCTGCTGAAGCTGAAATTCATTTGTGAAGCCACTAGTCACCGACTCTAATATGTTCCTGAGGATGTAAAGGGATTCACCATACCTTTGAGTAAAGAAGCCAAAGGCGAAAACGTTAGAAGTCATCTCAGTGAACCAATTGTCACTGGATCAGCACAGCGGTCACTTTAAGTTTATTACGAAATAAACAGAAGATCCAAACAGGATCTGCAGAACATATTTTTTAGCTTCTTTAAAAACAACTTTCAAATTTCGTCGTTTTGGCAGGACCGTTATTCAGTTCGTTTTGGTTGACTCGGAAACACAACTGCATTATACAATACATTCTAGGTAGCCATCACCAGGGCCGTGACAAATGTAAGCGTACTTTTTTGGCGATTGTCTATTTAGGTTATGTGCCGCTTGCGACTTAGGCTTTTCTTTACTGGAACGTTTGTCTATAGTTATATTTCTTTCAGTTTTAACCGCACACTACGCTAAGGTATCGCTCTACCGCAAGGTATCTTCGCACTGCTTGTTAAGTCATGAAAGATGAAATGCACGTTAAAATGTCATTCCTGGTGGCGGCATCGAATCCGCTGTGTTTGCAGTTATACCTATAGTTCATAAATAAATAGTTCTCTGTCCATTTGGTGTAAATGATGCGAATGAGTGGTTTAACAGATCAAATTCTGTTAACGGGAAATCTAATAAACTATCATTGATTTAAATGGTTGTACTTAATGAAGAGGAGGGCCCGTGCCGATATAAAGGGATAATTTGGTTTCTTTCGCTCTGACGAAAGGGTTAACGCTTGAAACGTCAACTTCGAAACTCTTCGCGGTGGCTAATTAACATAATCAACTCCGTTGATAAAACAAAATTAGTTTGTTGTACTCCCCCACCGGTATCCAGTCACCTCGCCACCAAGCAGACTCGCCACCAGCGAACTCGCCACCAAGGAACGATCTCGCCACCAACGTACTCGCCACCAAGCGAAGTCTTCTCGCCACCAACCACCAATAAAGAGATTAGTCGAGGACAGTAGGATGTTCGGCTGATAAGTCTGTACTCAAACTTTATAAACGTATGTTGTCGAAAGCACGTTCGAAACCGATAAGTTTGTTCGCTTGTCTGTACTCAAACTTTATAAAAGTATGTTGTCGAAAGCACGTTCGAAACCGATAAGTTTGTTCGCTTGTCTGTACTCAAACTTTATAAACATATGTTGTCGAAAGCACGTTCGAAACCGATAAGTTTGTTCGCTTGTCTATACTCAAACTTTATAAACGTATGTTGTCGAAAGCACGTTCGAAACCGATAAGTTTAGTTTTAATACAACTGCTATCGAGTTTCATTTCATCACTTATTTCTTCCCATGAAGTTTCATTTTCTCTCAAGTAAGTTTTTATTCCTCGCATCGAGTTTTGCAATTTCTCCTCGCTTACGTGCAAAAGACAAACACGATACGTTTCGATGTCAATGAGTTAGGAACGGAACACATCTAACACGTCGCTGAAGGTCATAATTTAAATACAGACAAGCGCACAAACGTATCGGCTGATTTGAATTGTGCTCGTTCGAACATCCTACTCTCCTCGACTACTTTATTCTAGTTTATCTCTTTATTGGTGGTTGGTGGCGAGAAGACTTCGCTTGGTGGCGAGTACGTTGGTGGCGAGATCGTTCCTTGGTGGCGAGTTCGCTGGTGGCGAGTCTGCTTAACCCCCCCACCGACACAGCAACACGGTTTCTTTAGAAAATTACTCACTTTATTCATCATGTTCATAGAGAGATTATGGTGATATTAAAAATAAGGAGCAATCTCAGACATATGGTATCAATGATAAAGTCTTTAGAAGCATGGAATAACTAACCGTTTTTCTAATAATTTCCAGTGGTTTAATATGAAATCCCATGCTATCTGCTGCCCCACTGAGCTAGTCTCAGCAACTTTTTTGATTACGAGTGGTGCATCAGAAGATTTTATCTTTGTTTTATCCAGCGAGAATTGGAGAAACCTAAAAACATCAAGGAATTTGGAAGATATGCAAGTAGAGAGGTCTGCTGTCAAATTAAAATAGTCTCCAGTGGCATATCGAGGCATACCATCATCCATAAGACATCTTACCTCTGCGATCTCGTTATTTCCACTGTTGGGACATGACAAGTCAGAAGAAATGGTTGACATAATTGAATGGTTAGTTTCACTGCACACTGTACTCTGTATTACCAATAAGTAACAAAAAAGCGAACCTCCACTCCAATCCGAGGGGGGCATTGGGGCCTATTAGAAACGGCAAAACCGTAGAAAAATCATCCAAAACCGAAAAATGGAAAAAAAATTCGATCAAAACCGAAAACCGCATGCAAAACTGTCAAAACCGATACATTTTCACATCCCAGTTATTAAACCCTGATCGATCCGATACGGTGGTGACAAGTGGAACATAACTACACTTATTTCATTACAGTGTTTGTGCATCCCATGGACTTGGCATTCGTATCTTGTAGTATCTGCTTAAATTATAGGCTTTATTTTAGCTGCTCTCTCGAGGACCTCAAGCGTGGTCTCTGGGGACTTAGCAGCTGGTAATGGAGCCCAGTTAAATCAAGGAAATTTGCACTTAAGTCCTCCATAGGATTGCAATTTTGCAGTCGCAAAAAGCCATGGCTTTGGAAAGTTCCATCGAAAATCCCTAATCTAACATTTCCATTTGCGAACTAAGACCTGAAAGTTTGAAGATTCTATTGGAATGTTGAATCAATCAGTTACGTGTGGCTTGTAACTTGGTCACCAACTTCGAGGTGGCGATGATAAAGAAACTAGAGCAATGTTCTATACTTAGCTATTGTTGTTTCTTGTCGCACTGTACTTTGTCTTATTGCTGCACCATATTCGTCATTCAGGACGCGTGAACCCCAACGGATGGTCAAAGTCTTGGGCGTCATTCGAGGTTAGGACCCTAACCCTAACCCTAAAACCTTAACCTTAAACCAACCCTATCAAATCCGGAAACCCGTCAATATTTTTCGCGAAAACCGAAAATCAAATGCTAAAAAACGGAAAATGAGCAAACCGCAATGAACACCAAAACCGAAAAACCGAACTTTTTTGGCACAAAGACCGAAAAAACTATCTAAAAAATAGCCGAAAGCGCAAAACCAAAAATCCCAATGCCCCCCTCCTATCCCTTGTGCTACAAAGAACCACTGCATTTACCGAAAATGTATCAGAGACTGATAATTGTTTAATTACCTGCTTAGAATCCATGGCTCAGGGGATCCAGCCAATCCCTGTACGAGCTTCTTCCTCTCTGAGGCAACTGAAGTCTGCAGCAATTGATCAAAAGCAAAATCCCACTCTTCCTGACCTCCATTAGCGATACCATAGTAATAGATCAAAGAGCGCAAATTTGCCGGTATCCTGATGAGCAAAACGGATACATTGGTAAAAAAGTAGCGGTTCAGTATGTGGAAATGGGCTAATTCGGCCGGGCTAATAAATGAAAGAATAACACAGGCATTAAAGCTTGGTGTAGTAAGCACAGGAAGCACGTTAAATCATAATAAAATTCGTCCTCATAATAACAGCTTCAAGGAACTGTTTTCTCTCCTGTAATTAGTATTCTTTTCGTTTCCCCACTCAAGAATTTAACAAACCTTTTCCAAGCTCCTTTTCCTTCGTTAAAGGGCATGTAAACCCAAAAATACATGTTTTTCTCATACTATGTTAAAAGTGGCGTAGAGAACGAATCTGAAATTCGTTTTGTCCAATTCGACTTATTTTAGGAGAAAATCGGCATTTTCAACTGAAATTCTATTTCCGGTAAAAACAATAGCGAGAGTCGTGACGCAAGCGGTGGAACTGAAATATTGCGCAACACATATTCCCTAGCAGAACTGGTGTGGTAGCTCGTGTAAGCAGCGGTAGTTCGAAGATGTTTTTCAGAAGATAGCGACTCGAATGCCCTAAGCTTAGTATATGACGGCGATGGGGATGGTCTAGAATCTTTAGGAAAGTCTGGGCCACGTCCTTAACAATATGAGCTGCGTAGGGTTCACCGAAGCGATCCCCAAGAACACAGTGTTGACAGCGATGCGACCTCCTCGGAAACTCAGACTGGTATCTAATTTACTGTGTGATTTACTTGTATTTGATATGAAAATCCAATAAAGCAAGGGCACAATCTAAAAGAATGCAACAGAAATTTTTTAAACCCGCTGAGCTTCCGAGGGTGTTTTGTATAAAATTGTCAAAGGTGCGAGTGTGGAACTTGTCAACCAATGCCGACAACTCGTGAAAGTGTTTGTTGTACGGAAATCGGGCAATTGTGGCAAAAAGTAGAGGAGCGAGGGTCTGAAACCCAGATAAGTTGTATCACTGAGTATCCAGGTTTTTAGTCAATTTGCCTTGATTTCTGGGTGCTAGAGACGGCCTATTACACGTACAGGCAGCAGTAAGGCACAGAGAATCACTCCGGAAACGAGTAAGCTAAATGTTTTCCGTCTCATCTGTTTCGTTACATTTTGAGATCGATTTGCTTGAGTTGTTTCTGTCATTGATTTAATAATACAGTATTACAGCTAGCTGTTTATAGTTCCGAATAATTTGCTTCTGGTAGGGCCTGAATTGTCGGTACAACACCAGGAAGAAAAATGACTGCTACAAACAACAGAATGTTCGAACGGCTCGACGAAATCGGCTATTTTTATTTGAACAAGTTTCACAAATTGTGCTTCAAATTTGCGTCATTTGGAAATATTTGTGTTATATGCTCAGTTTTGTTTGAATCAGTACAAAACTGGATTACACAACGCTTTACCATTATGAAAAAACTGAGTATATTGAAGCAAACTGTAAGTAAAAAAATCGTGACGAGACCGGCAAACAACGGCTGTGGAAAAGACTCCGTGTCTCACGCGATTATTAAACGAAACTTTGTAGGTTCCACCCTTGACGTCACAAGAAAGATGGCGCCATTCAAAATGGTGAATGTTTCGAATTTGGAAGAGCTTTTTCAAAGTGAAAATGGACTTTTGAGAAAAAACGAATGGCACCTTTGGTGTACTTGATATATTTACTAAACATCTATGTGAAAAGAAAATGAACGTTTTTTGGGTTTACATGCCCTTTAACTCAAGTCCCGTCTTCGATGCTATTATCTCCTGTGCAATGGATGGTTATTGAGCTTTGAGCCAACAGGCCACAAAAAAGTACCCATTCAGTATCCACATTTACAGCAAAAACACCTACTACTGCGGAGAAATTCACCGGCTCTTACTTACCGGTTCTTGACTGGATCTCTCATCCAATCACGAAAGTATTTCGAGGCATTTGCTCGGCAGGCTTTATCTTTTGCATCGCAAACAATTTCCAAGATAGCTGGTCGCAGGAAACTGACATGAGGCAAAAAGAAAATTAAGGTATTACTACAAGATGATTTTAAACATTACGTTCTTGACTTATATGCTTACGTTTCTAGGTGAGAACCTTGATCAGTAAATCCAAGTCTTTTGTAGATAGGTTCTGCTTGATAGACAAGGTATTTCTGTGAGATTCAACAATGATATAAAACTTGTCAGGAGAGTGAACTTTCGTTTCAGTGATAACCTCAGTTTAGAAAATTAGTCATCTGAAAACACAAGGGTTGGATTGATGAAGTTGAAAAATTTCCATGGTGGACGAAAAGGGCGATCGATGAATCGAAAAAAATAATTCTAGTGATCAGTTTTGAACCAAAGTTGACCAAAAGACCTCAAAAACTTCAGTCCTTGGCAAATATCTCGCAGACACAAGCTCCCTAATACACCTTTTCCTGTTCATTACGAGAAAATATGCCTTCATTTGCGTTAAGAGGCTAACAATTGCGTGAAAATACAATTGTTAGAGCCAAAAAACATCATTTGCACGTAAATCATATTTATTAACGATTTTGCATTTTAATCAGCATTCAACAACAATTTTAGGCATTCTTAGGCGTCATTCGTCAAGCAAAAGAGAAAAATGTACTTTCATTTGCGCTAACATTCAATGAAATTCAATGAAATTCAATAGAGACAACACATAATCAATATAGTGCATAAACCATTCATTAACATTTTTATCACACTGTTTGCAATTCAATAACATTTTTGGACAGCATTAGTGTGAATAAGACAATCATTTATGCGCTTGTACAAACAATCAAGCGTTTTTTATTTTCAATATTCAAACATCGAATTCTAATTGAAAAATACCTATTCCAAAGTTATCTAATTTTGAATTTCAGTTTACCCTTCAATAATCTCTCTATTCAACATTTTGGCAGATAGGTCTGCATAAAGCGGTACCATTGCGCACTTTTAGCCGCAGTCACAGTGTCGATGTTTCTGTGCAGAGCTTCAAGCAGTTATTGTGTTCGAAACTCCCCCAGTGGGATTCCTCTGGCTCTGGCCTCATCTCTGTTATCCATGCGCCTTTGAATTTTCGGACGCGAGATGTCAGCCTTGATCGCCGCTTTCAGACAGCTTATTGCCTGCTCCACGATGTTTAGGAAAGGACCTAGGGAGGAAACATTTTAAGGTCTGTGTTTGGGGCGGGAATGACCGGGCTTCGGTGGGCCGGTGCTTCGTCATACACAAAGATCACCTCCTCGTCGGGATCTAGGTTTGTCCTCGCCTATGCCAGGAAGTTATCGAAACGTGCAGCATTCATTCCGCCAACAGCTGCCGAAGAAACACAAGTCCGTTGATTGGCGAAATTTCCATTGTCACGGTCAAGTTTCGTCCTCGCTGGCCGCACACTTGACGGTACGCCCTCTTTCCCTGCCGCGCTCTACCGTGGCTTTTGGCCGTCCAGATGTTGTAGCCGCATTCGTCGACAAAAATGCAGTGGCGCACTACGGCATGGTTCATAAACCAGGTGGCGTAATCCACTCGCTTGTTCATCACATCAGGTCTGTTTCTGTCCGCGGGGAGGGGCCTCGTACGTTTCACTCGGGAAAGCATCCCGTCTAATGTCCTTGCCACGGTGAGGTCATGGATCTGAGGTTTTAGTGGTAGCCGTCTCCTCAGTTCATTGTTTATCCGAGCAAGTGTAAGTAAACAGTTCTCTTTTATGATTTCCTCTAGACAAGCTCTCATCTCTTCGTCCACGCGCACGTTGTTTCTACCTCCTCGTGGTCTTTCCTAGATCCTGCCCTCTCTGATGTAGCTTTCCACAATGCATCTTGCCGTTGATCGGTTCACTCCAAGCGTGTCCGCGACCACAAGATAATCTTCCTCCTCGTCCTCAAATTCTCTCACGATTCTCTCTCTGTGTTCGAGTGATATTCGATTTCTTCGTGGCATTTTGGCTGTGGATGCAAAGCGAATGAAGGGGACGAAATTTACTGAATGCAAGTTCTGGCAAAATCGGTGTTCGGTCGAAAATCACTACTTGCATATTGAATATAAAAAACACTGAATTGTTTGTAAAAGTGCATTAATGACTGTCTTATTCATACTTAGGCCATCCAGGAATGCTACTGAATTGCAAACAGTGGGATAAAAATGTTAATAAAGGGTTTCTGCACTATATTGTTTGTGTCTTGTCTCTCTTGAATTTCAAGATGGTGTAAATGACTTGAATGCTAGCGCAAATGAAAGTATATTTTTCTCTTTTGTTTGACGAATGACGCATAAGAATGCCCAAAATTGTTATTGAATGCTGATTAAAATGAAAAAAAAGGTTATTGAATCTGATTTACGTGCAAATAATCGTTTTTTGCCGTTAGTGAAGGTATTTGCACGCAATTGTTCGTATTTTCGTAATGCGTATTTTCTCGTAATGAACAGCAAAAGGTGTAAATTACATGCTCCACGCATACTACATCAGATCAGCAGAGTTGAAATTAGACACAAACACAGCCAAGTGTGTTTTGTAGGCTTATTCATTCTGCATACTGTCTTTGTTATAGATAGTTTACGCAACTAACCTGCAAGTATTTGTATGCTGGTCTGGGTGGAATTAAAAGACTTTTTATGAAATTGAAGCTCTTCAAGGCCGTTTGCCAGGGAACATATTCTTCTTCAGCACGTAGAAATGACGTTAATTCCAATGCCTTAGTGTAGTTAAGTTTTTCACTCCTTAGTAAATAATTGAAAGACCTTTTTAGATGACACTAAGTAAAACCTGTAATACAATCGATTTGAAAATTATCATCCTTAAGCTACGGGTGCCATCAAGATGAGAGGTCTAACCGACTCAGCAAGGATAATGAACTACATATTTCCAGAAGCATTCTGAAATCCACTTATTTACTACAAACAGAGGAGTTGATCGATAAAGGTAAACCAATCTATCTCCAAAGGGGTTTTGAAAAGCTGATGTTGCGAGCGCAGGCCCTTCGTTGGAGAACATTTAGTTATCGTACGTCACAGTACCGCTTAACCAAGACACCCATACGGATGTGTGCTTTTCAATCTGTAATCTAGAGAGCCCGTATTTCACAATTGTGTTGTAAAAGCCTATTGAGTTGTAAAATAAAATTATAAGTATCACTTTACAAACCCACCTAGCCAGTTCAAACGCATCATCTATAACACCTCCCCGGTCCGAAATATTCAATAACTAAAACACAAAAAAACAAAAGTAACTTTTACAAAGGCGCACTCTTTTTACTGAGGTTTGATTTGCAATTTCAAAAAACTGACTGACTGTATGAATGCCCTACTGAATAATACTGAATCGTCCGAGCGACCAACTTCCTGACTGGCTGACTATATAACTAACTAATTAACTCTCAGAAAGACTAAATAACTGATTATCTGACTGACTAAAATCAATGACTTACTAAATAACAATGAGTCAACCAAGCTAAAGCCCAAGGTGGTTGACTGAATGAATGACTGTCTGTCTGCCCATTATCTGAATGAATGATTATCTGACAGACTAACTAAGTGACCAACTCATTGACTGGCCACTTGACTGACTTACTGGTTGACTGTCTTTTAACTGAATTACAAATTGAATAACTTGATGTCTGTCTTTTGACTGAATGACAAACTGAAAAACTGTGTAACTATCTTTTGACTAAATGAAAAAATGGCTTACTCATTGTCTGTCTTTTGCCTGAATGACAAACTGACTTAGTCTTTTGAATGAATGACAAACTGACTAACAGTCTTTTGATTGAATGACAAACTGAATAACTTGGTGTCTGTCTTTTGATTGAAAGACAAACTGAATCACTGAGTGACTGTCTTTTGACTGAATGACAAACTGACTTACAGTCTTTTGACTGAATAACAAACTGACTCACTGAGTGACTGTCTTTTGACTGAATAACAAACTGACTCACTGAGTGACTGTCTTTTGACTGAATAACAAACTCACTCACTGAGTGATTGTCTTTTGACTGAATAACAAACTGACTCACTGAGTGACTGTCTCTTGACTCAATGACAAACTGAATAACTGAGTGACTGTCTTTTGAGTCAATGATAAACTGTCTAACTTACCTTGTGGTCAGTCCTCAGAGCTTGAGCCAAAGCATCCCAGTTCTTATCGTCATAGTTAACCCTAAAGAATCCTTTCTGGCCAACATTTCCTTTTATCCAACCACTTCCATTCCGTGGAGTCCACGTTATTGTTCCTATGATTTTTCAAAGTTTATCAAAGATGAAGCACAGGTAGACCTGACTTCTGGTTATTTAACCCAATTTTGATAATTTTTCAGAAACCATAATTTTACAAAAGAAGTATCATTCTTTACCTGACGTCATATTGAAGTCTTTCAGAATGACTTTATTTGGCGCTGAAGAAGTGACATACGTAAATGGTATAAACCATTTATAACTGTGGAGACAACATGTGTGCGGTGAATTGAATATTAAAACAGATAAAGCAAATAATGACTTTAATAAAACTTATTTGTGATTTAATGGAAAATAAAGATGTGGCTGCATATTTACGGTCTCCGGTTTCCGTAAATTACACATGGTTTCCGTGAAAAGTACAGGAAACAACGCGACAAAGAAGATCAACGCTTCTGCTCCAGCGTCAACAGATATCCTTTATTTGGCACTGTACTCACTTGTACGGTGATCTATACTCAGCTGTGATGTTTGCATCAGTATGGTAGAGAAACCTTTCTTGAGAAACTAAATATTGGTCGCCTGTAGAATGTCGGATATTGATTACAGGATAACCCATTTGAAGTGTCCACGTGTTCATCATGTGATCAACATCCACACAGTTCCCCTGATAACAGCTCTCCTGTCACAATCAATGGTTACAAAGAACAAACATCTAAGCAATTATCTTTCATTAGTTTATGTCAGTAGGTATTTAGTATTTGAATTACAGGCCGTAAGATTCGAAACAGTTTATCTTTGAAATAAAATAGGAGCAAGGAAATTCACTAGCCTTCCTCGCCTATCAAGTACACGGGATCCTTTATTCTGTTTTCAAAAGATTCAAGGTTTTTTTCTTAACTAAATAAATAATTAAATATATAATCGACCCCGCAATGTTTTTCGAATGTTTTATATCTTGTGCTCAATTCTTGTATTTTTGTTCTATATACATTACTGTCGTGTTTCTTAATACCTTAGCTATAAAATAATCTGTATTTTACCGAGTATTTCACAAATATATGAATTTCATATATCTAAAATCATTATTCATCACTTGGATGGTTTATTTGGACCCAGCTCCCAGTTGGCTTGTTAGCTCAGTTGGTGGAGCGCTGCACCGGTATCGCAGAGGTCATAGGTTCAAATCCCGTGCGGGCCTAAATTTTTTTTTTAGGCCCTATTTTCAACTACTAGTTCAGTAGTGTTCTTAGCTGCGAGGATCTCTTAAGTTCGTTTCTTCACCACAGTGCAAATAAATTAATTTCATAGATCTAAAATCATTATGTATTTTACTGGTTGTAGTTGTAGTTTGTTTATTAATACCAATTGCAGCCACGAGGCTGGATTACAGCTGGTTAGCACACCCTTGAACGTAACCACGTGATTATCCTTGTATATGGAGGGCCAAACCAGTCAATATTCCCTTTGTATTTTTGTGGCCCAGTTTACTTTTTTATATGGTCAACTCGACTTTTTGTATGATCAACCCTTTACTTTTTATATAGTCAGTTGAACTTCTTACACGGTCCACTCGACTTTTTATATGATTAACCTTTTATACTTTTTATATGATCAGTTGAACTTTTTTCATGGCCAACTCGACCATTTATATGATTAACTTTTCTTTTTATATGGCCGGTTGAACTTTTAACTTGATCAACTCCTCTTTCCATATGATAAACTTTTTACTTTTTGTATGGTCAACGCGACTTTTTATTTGGTCAAATTGATACTTTTTACATGGTCAGCTTTGTGACCTCCACACTGCATTACTCTTAGACTCGAATAAAATGGCTGCCAACAACGAAGACGTGCAGCATATCTCCTTGGCGTGTGCCATAGCTAAGCACACTCTCAAAGCCATCGAAAATCTTCACAATGATAACATTAGAAACGTGGCAGCGTTGACAGCTACTAAGAGAACTTCGACTTCCTCTGTCCCATCATCAAGTTCTTCGATTGCAGCAGAGCTCTCACACTGATTTCTAACTTTCGACGCACGTGTGGCAACTACAACTAGAAAACGAACTTCGACGGGTTCAAAAACCGGGAATAGGCGCTAATACAAAGCAACTACCAAGTCACGTCAGCTTCAAAGTCAACTTTCAAGTGAGGATATTTTTTTGAATACTCAAGGTAGCTTGTTTTTGGTTCCTCCTGCTCGATGAGATAAGTAACTAATAGTAAAAATTATATTAATATTGAAAGTTCATGTACAATTATTGTAAGGCAAAAATTCAAGAAGAACTTAATAGAAATCATGAGAGAGACTGCTGACAAGGAGATAGAGCAAAAAACCCAATATGTGAGTGACTGCTGGCAGCCAATTCTTGCTTACCTCAGGATTTATTTCCTAGATGTATAAAATCATTACATAAATTGTATTCTTTCATCACACCAAGTAATGTTAAAGTTAGTGGCCCACTTGAAGCCAGTCCGGCTACAACAGCTGAGACAGAAACACTGGCCCACTTGAAGAGATTCATTAGAGGGCTTGACTAAGCTAAGACTACCAAATGTTTGAGATTTACAACTACATCTGATGTTCTTGTCACTGACAGGTTGACAATATCATTCATCAACAGTAAAGGTCTACAGAGAAGCCTATTTTCCACAGCTGTAGCTACACTTTAGAGGCGCCCAGCACATGTGCTAGCTTTTTAGAATTCATGGCCATTTTGAATTTAGATACTTGGGAGATGAATATAGTGTGAACAAATAGCATAAATGTACACCATAAAGTGGTCTTACTATGGTATATGTGCGTCTTGCTGAGCTTTGTTTGCTCTCAGACTGTTCAGTTACGGAGTAATTTTCTGTTGAGCTACGTCATTACAAGAATGGGTGTGCTTGCTTACGACACACTCATTTTTACATTTTCATCTCGTTGTGTTATCAAGGCTGCTTAGTGTGGATTTTTTCAGAAAAACTTATAGATGGAAATTATGTTAATTTCTTTCAGTCAGTTAGATTTGTTAAAATACAATGAGGTTCAAAACTTTTCAAAGTTCTCTTTTGAAAACATAAAGAGCAATAAAAAGCATAATGTTTTGTGAAGTTTATAGCCTCTATAGTGATTTTTCAATACAAAATACAAGTTTGCAACTTAAGTCAGTTCAGTAGATATATATGTATATCCTGTAAAATCAAAGAACAAAAAATTCTTAAACGACTTAAGTGTGTATATTCACCACTTCTGTCATTTTCTTGCAAGGGGTTGCAATGATTTTCTGCGAATGCAATCTGTTGATCAGAAAGTGGAACACTTGTATCTGGAACTACTACCTGATAGTCTTCTTCTTCCAGAGGGACAGGAGCAGAGGGGTCAAATCCGTAATCATGCCTACTACAAGCATCAAACACACCTTCTACTGCAGCATATCCAGAGCGTTCATTTTCAAGCATTCCAGCTGTATATAATTGAATAGGAGAAAGATTTCCTTCAGAATAAATTGGATGATTTTCCCACTGGCCCTTGAATTCCTGTAAGCACTCACTGATTCTGGGGATGAAGGCGTAATGCCATGCAAATGCATGCAAATCATTTACTGCATGCAGTAGCTCATAATCCCCTGAGCGAGAAAATGTTCTAGTAAAAAAGAAAAGTACTCCTGAGTAAATATCTCTATGTGACCTGTCTACACGACAGTTGTGCACAGAGCTACCAGTTATAATGCTACCTCTGTCAACACCTCTCTGCTCTTGCATAAACTCTGCTAATTTGAAATTTTCCATACCATAATCACTTCTCACCCTAGTAGACAATCCATAACTGTTGACACCTCTAACAAATTGTTCCAGTACTGTATCAGCTTTGTTCTTATTGCAGCAGTGGGCATAAATTATAATTCGGGAATATCCATTAACACACGCATGAGTTATTAACCTCCATCGTATGAATTTCGTACGTTCATCGGATGTTCAGCATCTTAGATCACGCTTCCACAACTTTCCAAATTAAAATCAAAGAAGCTATCCACATTCGATGCGAGCAACCTACACTAACCGTCAACTTTATCATATTAATTTGAAACTTTCCTTGCAATTGCACACGTTTTTCTGTTGCTATTGTTTGTTTTGTCCAATCAGCATTTTGTTATACACTTTAAATTCAACTTTGTACTTTGTAAAATCAGAACTGAAGATGAGAGAAGAACTGTCGAAACAAGTTTTTAAAAAGTATTGTCTATTTTCTTAAATTTGACCATATAAAAAGTCGAGTTGACCATATAAAAAGTAAAAAGTTGACCGTATAAAAAGTCGAAATGACCACGTAAAAAGTAAACTGGGTCGCAGAAATAAAGAGGGAATATTGACTGGTTTGGCGCCCCATAATTGTATATGACTAGATTCTTTACATTCTAATAAAGCAGTCGTGTTGAGCACTTAGTCTGATTCACGCATTACTCTATACTAGTACCTCGAACCCTAATACACGACAATTATTGATATAAATTTTTTTTAGGAAGACCTCCTTTGGTGCTAACTACTCAATTACCGCATGTAAAGTCCGGTTACGGGAAAATCTCAAAGTAAGGCCTCGCCATATTGACCGAGTAATTATTATTTCATAATGAAGTATATTTCATTCTGACTTGCAGAACAAAATTCGACTCTCTTCCAGACTGAAAATTTGAGACTCAAACGTTTGAGGTGAACAGAATATCCGCCGTCAAGGGTCTGGCACTATACAGAAAATCCTCCATGGGTCGGCTAGTAAAATGTTTCGGCCAAAGTAAATTTATGTAATTCGCCAGCCGGGAGGTCCGTATTGGGAAAAACTGTGCTTGAGGTCTTGAGTACCACCCGAGGCCGTATTAATTTTGTCAAAACTCAGTTCATGTTTACGCAAGCTATTGATAAACCAAGTGGGTGTACAAACCTCTCTGAGTGCAGCCCATAATTTCATCGTGTTGGCATTGGCGTACTCGAATCTTTTTAAATAACGCTGAAAAATATAAATCAAAGGTATGTCATGGTATGTAACTGGACTGAAGTAAACATAATTTAAAAACTTCCTCTAGAACTAAACCAACAACTACCGGTTAATTACTTTGAAAATAAATAGCAAAATCTCTAAACCAAAGTCTCACTTCAACGGCGTAAAGATCCTTTCCTTACCTTCAATCCTCTCCTAAAAACTTCTTTTCCAAGATAAGCCTCCAACATACGTAGGATACATGCGCCCTAAAAGCGATAAGTTGTTTCGACATACTTCAAAACGTTACCTAATTACAATAAAAACCAGTTGTTTCAAAATGGATCTTAATTTCACGTCTACACACGAGTAATTCCTCGCTTACTTACTTTGGAAGATCTTTTTACAAACAAATGCATGCATACCTTTTCATAAGTGATGGAGTCAAAAATCTTAGTGATCTCTTCAGGTCTCGTTATAGGAATTCTGATTGGATGTGAATTTGCCAAGCCATCCGCTGCGAATGCTGTTGACATATCGGTTACAACTAGTTGATCGTCCTGAAAAATATTTCAGCAGAGCATTTCTAGGTAAAAAATTCACGTAAACATCTTTCAAGGTTTCTTGATAACTTACTATTTTCCATTCTGGATGAATAAAATCCGTAGCAGAAAATTCCATAAAACTGGCAAATCCTTCATTCAGCCAAAAATCATCCCACCATTCCATTGTGACAAGATTTCCAAACCACTGAAAATAAATCCGTATGATTCAATGTCATTCCAAATAGTAAAAATAACAATCAAAAACCAGGTATTTTTTCCTGAATTGTTCCTTGCAATGTTATTCGTTTAACCAGTACCACAGGAGTACCACAGGAGCACCACAGGAACACCACAGTGCCTGGCGGATTTGTTCGCCCTTAGCTTCTTGGTCATGTTTAGCACTCGCTCGCTTTACTGTAATACAAATTATCAGTGACAGTTGCAAGAAGAATAAATGTTATGACTGAGTCACTTCATTCAAAATACCTGATGAGCGATTTCATGGGATATGACTTCGGCAACTCTCTGTTTATTGTCTGCTGAGGATACATTTGGTTTGAAGAGTAGATTCCAGTCTCTGTAGGTTATGAGTCCCCAATTCTCCATTGCGCCATGAATGAAATTTGGAATAGCAATCATATCTGTCAAGCATTCAAGAGCTCTTGAAATACTAATTGGGTTATCAACAACGTTCTCAGAATCAGAGTATGAAAGACAAATAATGAGTAATTCTAGTTCAAAGTAAAACTTCAAGAATTCCTTAATAGTGCATAGATTAGTGGGTTTGACTGATCCTTCTTTTAATGTACTCAGCTTTATTCAGCCAAGTCAGTAACAGCTGGGGAGATCTGATTAATCTTTTTATCTCCCTTGTTTTCCATCCCGAAGTTACAAGTTGAGCCAGTCTCCTTCATACTGCTGACTTACCTGTTTTTGGCAACGCATATGGTATTTGGAAATATTCTTCGAAAAAACTAAAAAGTTTATCTGTGATTTGAGAAGCGTATTCCACTTGATCAATCTGCTCCGCAGGAGCATACATCCGCACCTAAACAGATGGAGAAGATAAAACTGACATGGTCACCATAAAGCTTTTTTAATTTACCTGTGAGACTAGAGGTGAGGTTTAGGTGTAAAAACACCCAGTTATCGTTTTTGTGTCAGGTAGGCATGATACATATCACGGTGGTAAAAAGATCGATAAATAAGAATCCTAACACTGTTTTGTTCGCCTTGATTAGTCTTATCTTTATCAACATCTATATATCTCTGGCTAGGATCATATCATTTCTTTTAGTTTTAGTCCATCCTCTTGCACCTCAATACTATACTTGTTATTAATAACATACCTTCTTTCCATCTTTGGTCAATGTGAATTCAGTGTGTTTAAAATCACAGACAGCAAAAGCCACTAGATAGGTGGACATGACGACTGACTTCTCGAAGTGATCGTATTTCCATCCGTCTGTCACCTCATTATGGTAAACAGGCATATTTGAGATAGCAATCAAATCAGGGTCATGAGCGATGGTCACATTGAACGTTGCTTTCATTGCTGGTTCATCAAAACACGGAAATGCTTTACGTGCATGTGATGGGGAGAACTGGGTAACAGCCACAGGACTACAATAAATGGTGGACTTTGATTAATAGCCCATCAACCTATACAAGGTCGTTCAACGAATATGGCTGTTAACAAAAAATTTTCGTCATGCAGTAATTATCCACAGAAGATCAAAGTGCGTGAACTGACTGTTTTTCCGAGCAGACAGGGAGGAGTAGGTCTACAAATCTTTAAATGCAAGAAGAGGTTGTCCTCAAATCTTCTCTGCATTCGAAATCAAAATGTTTGCAACTCCTTATAAAACTGCACCCTGATCTTTCAGTCCTATACATCGCAACGTGTTTTCCTATTTGTTAACTGTGTATATTGGATCTTCTGATTATTTTTCAAGAGCTTCCCACGCACTCAACGATGTGCTTCAGTCCTAAAGCAGTTTATAAGCAAACAAAATTTGTTCTTACACTATAGTTCCGTCTTTCTGCTTGTACGTCATTCGGTAGAATCCTTCCAATTCTTCTCTTAGGTCAGATTCATACTCTATAGTCACGACATATTCATCTGGATGTAACCAGCCGTTCAGCTGGATAACGTAGAACTGATTAATCTCAAACCAGAATTGATTCATGACTCTAAATTCTCCTGAAAAGACAACATGCAAGGTCATTCTTCAGTCAAATAAATGGTTCACTTAATTTCAAATATGTTTATTAGCTAAATCTACAAAAGCAATTAGGTGATCCTTTTAACAATCTGATTTAATAAAATTAACAACTTTATTGAAAATAAAAAGCCAGACTGAACAACTCAGTTCAAAAGATTATAAGTTTATAATCTCTTAATCAGTTTAATCAGCCGCTGTACTATCGCCTCGTAATGGGCATAGGGTAAAATATGGACTGGACTATTTTTTGGACCATTTTTTAGACTATTTTTTGGACCATTTTTTGGACCATTTTATAGGGGGGAAGCACACCATTAGTACTCAGGGAGGGGCGGGATGCAGTCTACTAATACTGAGGGAGGGGTGGAAGGCAGAGTGTTATTACTCAGGGAGGGGTGAGAGAAGGACTATTGCTAGGCAGGGAGAGGTGTGAGGTGGATGTAATAGTAAACACTACTTGCTAATGGAGCTTTTACTCGATCGTACAAATTATCTCCATCGGTTTTTCGACTGACTTTTTGGTTGTTCTTCATTTTTGTCGTCATGCGAAAGCGAAACTGCCACGTGAACACTGGACTTCGATTTCTATTGAAAATATCGCGTTTAAGGTCCAGTCCATATTTTACCATATGCCCTCGTAATGGAACAAAAACTACAAAAACTTACTTACCACCAGAAGACCGCCGGACAGTGACTGACATCACTTCCAGCTGGTTGGTATGAACCAAAATATATTCCGTTGATTGTTTCACGTCAATTAAGATAGAGACTTTACCGTTGAATAAGAACTTCTTCAGATCAACGAAAATTATAACATCGTAATGTTTGGGTGTGATATGTTTTGGGAGGCGTACATTCCACCAAATGCCATTCCCACGTGTTGTAGGACTATGGACTGTCGTTGGAAATGTGGTTTCGGGACTTATCGTTCCTGTAAATAAAATGTGAATTGGTGATGAATAAAAGTTCACATGAAAACTACTGATAAAGAAATAGCTGTTGTGTATGATTAATTCACTTTGTAAAAGTTAATTTCAAAATTCTCATCGATCATTGCCACATTCGTTTTTGTTTTCATGATTCTGGAGCCCTTCCTCTCAAAATTCACCATCGTGCTTCCCCTTGGGCGTAAAATTGGATATTCCGACGTAAACATGCAGGAAGCCCGTTTTAAAAAACAAAGCACAATATATTAAATCGTCTGATTATGCAATCTTTAGTGACAGTAAATTATACACAGCGCACCACTCCAAGCCTTGGATGCACTGACCATTATTTTCAATCGACTGTAACCGCCCTTTGCGTTTGTTTTAACATTACAACCAAAACAGACCCTTCCTAATGTATGTTTAAATTTATGATATATGCAATTTTACTTGACCAATATGTTTTCTCTCGACGCCATGATTGTGCCATCTGAGTACTGATTCACCCTCTGGCTTTAAAAACTGTCTTATACGAATCACAAACATACAGCCTAGCTTTGTTTCGTAACTATCTCTTCGCAGCCAACTTTTACAAAATGCAAACATCGTACAAAATTAATCGGTGACTTCCTCTGTTATCATCTTTGCCAAAAGCAACAAGAAATAATCAATTCACTAACTGAACTTCTTTGTCAAGCAAAATGATATTTCAACTTAAGAACAGAAGGTAACTTTTGTTCGCCCTTTATTTCATTGATGAAGCGAGAATATCTCACTGATCTCTCATCGCTAATGCTTAGTATAAAATCGTATTGTTACCGTATCATGTTTAATTATTTTGTGAAAAAGGCCTTTGTACAAAAAGTAGGGTAGGGAAGTTAACAGTGTGAGAGAACGCAGAACAATGCCAAATACTTAGAAAGATAATTATCAGCTGATAATACATTCTTAGCATGCACAATTTTCGTTTGGTTTGATCTTTGACAGATCATCATTTCTTTCAAAAACTCACCCTTATATGTTAAACATTATAAGGTGACGTCTCAGCTGTAAAACCTAAGAAATTTTCTGTTTCTAACTACACAGACGACCAAAGCTCACCCTCTCATTTCTTTAATCAAATAAACTAAGTCAGTATCAGTACAACTGCGGCTGGCATGGATTCGCGACATGCAGAACACAATATACTTATTCTTCATAACAACATAATCAAGACTCGCCTTTAAACTTCTCCTCCCTAGAACATCTTTCTTTGCCGAGCAAAGATCCCAGGACAATGACTAAAATAATGAGCACTATAATCAGTGCAAGCACTGTAGCGATCACACTTCTGCTTACGAATTTTCCCTGCGGAGCTGTTCTGCATCTAGGCTCCTGTATTCTAAACGAGTCAGTTCGGAGTGGCTTCTCTTCCTGGTGTTTGAAATCCATGAATTTAAGTGTCGAGCTTACTATAACAATAACCAAAGAGAACAGACGGAAAAGCTAAGGGCCGCTAGTTTAGCTTTTGTCAAGTAATATTACAAGCCTTGTGTCTGTATGCTAATGAAGTGATCACTATAATCACAGATTCACTAGATTTTGGGTCAGGAAACGGAGAACTACAAATAACATCGAATTTCCTGAGCTAATGAGTCAAACGTCAATAGAATCAGTGGACATCAAACTCACTAATGAGGTGGGAAAAAAGAAGACAAAAATGGCCCTTGACAACAAAGAACAACTATAGCCAATCAGCGCGGAAATTGTTTTTTCTATCTATCTGCATTTTTTAACGAGAACACGAAAATTGGACTTGTTTTAAACAACATAAAAGAAAAACGTAAAAATGGGGTTTTCAATAAGTCTCCCCTAAGATTTTGTAAATTACATCACTCCCTCTCAGTTTTGAATTTAGAATATTGACCAAATAGCCTGTCTGCCCCGGTTATTAGAGGCATAATGTCTGCCCCGGTTATTAGAGGCATAATGTCTGCCCCGGTTATTAGAGGCATAATGTCTGCCCTGGTTATTAGAGGCATAATGTCTGCCCCGGTTATTAGAGGCATAATGTCTGCCCCGGTTATTAGAGGCATAATGAAGGGGAATACGTGCGTGTTAGTAAAGTGCTCTTCTCCTTCCTTATTGCTAGACACTTCGTACGCATGTGCATGTCTGAGTACCAGCTTGGTAGGCCAATATTACATTTGGAATCGATCTCAAAGCTTGAACGGGTTTGGTAAGACTTTTCTCATTGTTATTAAGAAATGGACATTTAAATAAGACAACCCAATCGGGCACGGAACATTGTCGCTTAATGGACTTGTTCTGATATTAAGAAACTTGCTTGGTGAATTAACATTTTAAGTTTTTAAAAAAAGTGATGGCCTCTTTTAATAATTAAATACCGTATGTTAATACATGCTGTTGTTGTTTTTTTTTTATTTGGGGAGGAGAGGTGCAATATTCTTTTCTTTGTCACCATACTTGGCTGAAAATTGAAGTGAGGAATCTAAATTATTCCCTTCTAAATTACCTCTGTGATTAGCCAGTGCTCCAGTAAAAAGAATTCGCATTTGGCGCACACCCACCCATGGAGACTTTTCTTGTGTTGTTAAATCATGAAATCTATAACTTTCAAGTGCAAGCTCCGGAAAACGTGATGAGCGAGTAAAGATGATACAAAAGTTTACGTGAATTTGATGGTATAACGTTGATAAAGAACAGATACAAGGCTACAGGGATGTATAGACATACATAGAATCAAGAGAAAATACAAAAAAACATTTGGGCAGGGTCGATGAAATATGGCAGTATAACTGGAACAGGCGGTAGATTAGATACAAAAGTAAGAATTAATGAGAAGGGGAGTGAAGGGGAAAGGTTTCATACAATATCTCGGAAAACACTGTCGTTAAAAAAAAAAAACAAAAACAAAAAAACAAAAACAAAAACAAAAAAAAAAAACATAAGAGCTGTAGTATGTTCGCATTATTAACCCAACCTTCCCACAATGAGCTGCCATCTTATTCCTGCTGAAATGTAATAAGGGGTGGCAATCCCAGTTTCTCCCAAAAGTTTGATCATGACCCCCAATAGATCAAAACTTTCACAGAGCTTTTTAAACGGCGTTGGCACCATCATAGACAATATGGAGCCAAGTCTCTGCATATATGTAATACAACTCTTACTTCTGGTACACCCTGGATAATTTTACTTCTCAATTATTATTTGTCCTGGAATACACACCTTCCTCAAGACTTTTGCGTCAAACAATAAAGTACA